TTACCTGAATTCATTACAGGATTCTTTGTAAACACATATCAACTATTCATGAGCCAATGTTCAGCACTCAAGATAAAAAAGTTATAAATACTATTAAAGTCAGACTAGCATGGATTTCACCAAGTCAACATTGAAGAGGGGTTTTCTCATTCATGGGACAAGAAAAACAATTGTACTGTTAAATGAATGAGAGCCAATTTTGTGTAATTGGCGAAGGCTAGAAGCCAGGAGACTATATTTTCTAATCCTGCCTTAGGCATGAAGACACAGGGTGTATTTAGCTTAAGGTGATGGTATATTAGCCAGGAAACTACAGTATTAATTCAGAGTAGTTGTTTACCTGCCTAAGACTGCTAGTCCGTTCAGTTCATACACACTATCTAAAAATGCACCACAGGGGGTGAACTAGAACAGGGCTTTTCAACCTTTTCACTCTTTGTACCACTTTTAGGATATGGCAACATCCGAGTACCACCAGTCGCCTAGCAAGGTGTCAAAAACTTGATGACCAAAAAAAAAAAAAAGCGAAAAAGTGATGAAGGGCAGGAAGTCCTCAACTTACAACAGTTCACTTAGTGACTGTTCGAAGTTACAATGGCACTGAAAAAAGTGCCCCCCAAGGCACAGCCAAGCAAGACACCTACCTGCCTGGTGGTGCTCTTCCTCCTGTCTGAGGTTTTCATTGTTGTGAACATTTCTGTTGAGGATTGGCAGCGGGGAGAGGTGGGGGGGTGTTTGGTTTTTATTCCCCCATCTGCTGGGTGGTTACAGCAGGTTTTGGTCACTTCACATGACCCTGGGACACTGTGACCGTCTTAAATATGAATCAGTTGCCAAGCATCTGAATGTAAATCACAAGACCCTGGAGATGCTGCAACATTCCAGCTGATCGATGCTTATTCTGGGCTCAGTGGAAGTGCCAGGATCAGCGCTGAGCTCCAGCTGGAGCCTGGCGCTGATACTGGCGCTCCCACTGAGCCCTGACAGCCCTGAAGAAGTGTTGATCCTGGTGCTTCCACTGAGCCCTGACAGCCCTGCAGCTCCAGCCGTCTCTCGCTTAGGCTTGGGCGGTGCTGCCACCAGTTCAGCTCATTCCCCTCCCCCGCTACCATTTTTCTAGGATGGTCGCATACCACCTGCCAGGTGCCAATGTATCACAGGTGGTACCCGTACCACTGGTTGAAAAGCCCTGAACTAGAATGCACTCAGAATGGCTAATGGCATTTGGCAGCGTCCTCCAGGGCTTTTTCCCTCTACTGATGTCACCTTGCATTCAGACATCGCATTTGGGCAGATCCAACCCAAACTGGGTTCGTAATTCCACATAAAGTGGTACCTATGTATCTATTTGCTTATAGCATGCTCTCAAACTGCTAGGGCAGCGGTTCTCAACCTGTGGGTCGGGACCCCATTTGGGGTCGAACGTCCATTTCATGGGAGTCGCCAAACAATGCAGTCCGCCATTTTTTCCCCCTTTTCCTTAGCTGTGCTACTCCCTTTTATTCTATTGGCTTTTGAAAGCCAATAGAATAGACTCTCTTGAATAGAGTCTAATTCTATTGGCTTTCAAAAGCCAATAGGAATTGTCCAGGCTGTCCTCGACTTACGACCAGTTGGGTAGTCCTCGACTTACGACCAGTTGGGGGTCGCGGCATTAAAAAGGTTGAGAACCACTGTGCTAGGGGATGGTATACGAGTAGCCCATGAAGTATAGTATAAGCATAATGGAGCTGGGTTGGCCACTGCTAGGCAGTGGATGTTGCAAGCAATTTAATATTTTTCCTGCCAGGTTCCCCATTGACTTTCTTTGTAGGAAACTAGCAAGGAAAATTGATTGTGTCACCACAGAATACTGCAACAAACATAAATACTAGCTGTTTGCCAAGCACCCAGATTACAATCATGTGACCACAAGGGTGCTGTGATGGCCAGAATTTCAAGGACTGATTTTAAGTCTCTTTTGTCAATACCATTGTAGCTTTGACTGGCCACTGAACAAGAGGTTGGTAAGCCACAGCTACTTGCATAACACCAAACTTTGAAGTGCAGTTTATGTAAAAACTCATGAAAAATGGGGGGGGGAGAGATACATCACATATATTTTCAAATAAATTGTTTTCTTAACAGCAAATTATAGTATAGTTATTTTTATCAATTGCATGGACTTAAGTAAAACCCTTCACTTGTTTGTTTCTTTGATTTGGCAGAAATATCTCTAAATTCATATCAATTTGTTTCACAAATATTTTTGTATTGTATGAAAAGGAAATATGTAAAAATCAATTTCTTTCCATTTGTCTTTTTTGAAAAAAAAGGTCTTAGATGAAGCAAAAAAACACCCTTTTCTTTCCAAGTATCTTGGAAGGCATATGTTCTGTTTTAGCACTGCTATCCCATAATCTCTTGATTATTCAAAGTTAAATATATAAAAATATATTAGGTCAACTTCTGAAAAGCACTGTTTTTCTACATTTCTAGAGGACAGTTCTAATTAGCTTGATTCATTGCAATCTGCCAGCTTAAGTACTTCTGGGTCAATGATCATAAATTATCTATTATATTCTGCAGACCTCTAAAGACCATGAGTCAATTTTAGTGCACTGAAACAACACATAAAGCAAAATTTACCAGCAAAATACAAAAAAGTTTTAATATTCCTTAAACATAATTATAACCTGTCAATTCTTTTATTCTTTTATATACTTGGGAATGTCTGTTATTTTAAATAGATGGGTGAAATGATATATAAAAGAAAGCAACCATTGTTTCTGTCTTTGACCTACTGTTTTTATGGATTCCAATTCCACTAGTATTTTGAAGGAACCTTTTTTCAGGATTCTATCCAACTTTATTTATTTATATGTTTATGAATCCAGCTATTTCTCTGACAGAATATATTATAATACAATTTTTTACTTCAGAATATATCAGGTGATCTCTGAGTTTAGCTGTTTTCTTGCAGACATTTCATTACCAAACAAAGTAACATCAATGCTACAAAGGTATAGGGTGTGTTCTCTTTTTATATATTAGTGGCTTGCCCTGTCAGTGTTGGTTGGAGCATTCTCGGTGGTTACCTGAGTAGACTGTTTACTATTAGTTTATTTGTCTGAGTTGATAGTTTTTTGATTGGGATATTGTAAACAAAAAACAAGTAAACAATTGTTCTTGTATTAATCTTGGTGTTTATCTGGGTGTTGACTACTGGTAGGATGGTGTTTTGGTTTCTTTATTTTTGGATTTTTGATTGTCTCTTTGGAACGGTGTGTGTGTGTTATTGTTGTTTACTTCTATGTGCCTGTTGATGGCTGCTTTGTCTGAGTGCCAGGTTTTCAGGAATTCTCTAGTGTTTTAAGACTTGGCCAAAAACCAGTATCTGGATATTGTGAGCTATATAATTAAATCAAGTATTACAAAAGTATATGATGTAGCATATTGCACATACTCTACCATAAAGTCTTAGCACTCAACTTTCAGTGCTGACTAGAATCTATATTTGGCAAATTATTGACTTTGAAAATTACTTCTGGATTATACATAACTTCACGACATGATCTTGTTCTATTTTCAGTCTACTCCTTACATTTCAAAACTGTGGAAGAGTATACTCAAGTGTAATTCTGAATATATTGGAATTCATTAGAATAATTAATTCTTTCCAGATAAATTCAGGAATGATAAAGACCTCTTTGGTAGCCATTTTTCAATCCACTTTTATAGTACTGTACACTACCCAGAATATTTGAACTGGTTAAATCCATTATTTTATTATAAGTTATATTTAAGAATATAAAATAATTTATATTATTTTAAATTTTAAATGAGATATTATTTATAATTTAATTAATATAGCTGTTTACTCACCAATGACTCTGGGTGACTTACAGAAATATTTAAAGTTACCAAAACACAAATTTTATAAATTGTGAATATAGTGAGCATTATTTATTAGCAAAACAATTCTCCAATAATACTTAATACATGTTTGAAAGAAAAGAAAAGCCAAGTATGTCTTTGACGCACTTGGCTATGAGTCACACCTTCCTTCAAAACAAGTTTTGGCTTTTCAACTCACCAGCTGCATGTAGGTTATTTGAAGGAAGCCAAGCCAAACGTAACTAGGCTCAGATTTTTCACTCACTGGATATCTTTCAGTGAGTTTGTTCACTCCTCAGAGGATGGTACAAGAGACTTCACATCTTAAATGTGCTAGCCCTACATCTACTTGATTTCATTTAGCTAATAACTAAAGAATTCAAAGTCAACTGGAGAAAAAGTGGTCTATGTTTTAGTTGTGTATAATTTAGACTGTAAATAGCATTAAACACCATTAGGTCTTATCCTGCTACTAAATATAGCACAGACTTCAGCAACTACAATCAACAGTTCTGTTAAAAAGTTCCAGCAAGATGCAGGGCCTATAAAATTAATATTCTATACTAGGATAACTGCACAGAAATCAGCAGTTTTTTTGTTGCAATTGGATATAAATGTGATACACAAATAATAAAAATAACAAAACAAAACCTAATCAAAAACATTTCTAATTTAATGGAAGGCATTTAATCTTCATAAATTAAGAGGTATTTCCTGTTCTACCAATAATGATTGCATTTCTAAAGGTTCTAAAATAAACATGACAAATGTTATACTATCTGCTCCTTTAATAGAGGGATATTGGCAAAAAAATATTAACAGAAATTCTGTCACAGAAAGTTCAGTATGTTGAAAGAAGTAACCAGGCTAGCTCTGCAAAATAGAAAAAAAGTACTAGGACTGAAAGCTGCTTTATCTTGCTGCTTTACACATAGGACAGTACTTCTATTAGGTCAAATTAAATCCAACTTCAATTAATCAGTTGCAAATGGACAGAAGAAAAACTACAGGAAACTTCGATGTCAATCTATTCTTATCTTGCAGTTTTTTTACCTTAAGTGCCCCGGTTTAAAGACATTAGATCTATTAAAGCTTATTAGTGAAATTGTTCCTTTTTTCCATACCTTTGGCAGAAAAGAAAGCCAGGGGGCGAGAAAAATCAAGTCTGACTTAAAAGTCTTGGGCCTTGATTTAAAAAAAAAGATAAGAGGCTATTTGTATTACGAAATTGACAAAGATGCCGCTGACCACGGGAGATGGGGGAACTCCTTCAGAGCACCACCCTCCCTTCCTAAAACCTTTTGTTAGTTACATAATGCTTTCATACATTCAGAAACCCATCCTGGATGCATTCCAGCAGTCTTTCGCTCCCAGTTCTGCCCGCAAACATCGCCCCAATTCATCTCTCGCCCCCACCTTGCCACAACCCTTCAGACTTGCTGCCGAAATCAGCAGCTACAGCGTACGCAAAGCGGCTTCCCCGCGCCACCCGGTGCACGTGCAGCTATTTGCCTTTCAGACGTTATGGTCCCACATGACATCACTCCCCACTGCCCACCCCTCACACCACAAAGCTGGGCATTCTCGCCCCCCCTCCAGGCGCGTCATTCTGCCCTCGGTCTACCCCCACGCCACGCCTCCGGTTTGGGGAATGGGGACCAAACCTTCGGCACGCTCTGCCACGAAGTCTTTCCAGACAACCCGCACGAAGACAGCAGCAGCAACTCCCCCCCCCCCCACGCCCTCACCTGCCGTCCCCTCCGCAACTGCGGCTCCCGAAGCTCCAGACAACCGAGGGGAAAAGTTCCCACCCAGCGATCGAGGCCCCGCCCACCGCACAAACGTCAGAGAAGGAAGATCAGGTAGTCCCGCTAAGCTTCCTACGCCCCGCCCCCGACCACCCCATGCAGCAGCGTATCTGCATCAAGGTTATCCCCGTCGCTAATCTTTCTTCCCCCTTCTTTCCCACTCCGGCACGCGGCTGTCCGGCCTAGCCAATCCGCATAGTTAACTCCGCCCCTTATCTGAGGTCCTTTACATATCCACATCCTTTGCCGTCCGATGCGCCTCTTGCGTGGTTTAGATCTCGGCAAAAGCACCTGAAGCCACGCCCATATTCGATGGTTCGCATTCGCTCTTCAGCTTTAAGACGAAGAGATGCGCATGCGCAGACCTCGACGGGAAAGCAACTCGAGCGACTTCATCGAGTCTCAGCAATTTGTATTTTGTGTCAAAGCTGCTGGATATATATAGGATAGGCGACGTAAAAGCACTTTGTTTTGTAATTATATCTGTGTACTTTTTGTCGTTTTTTAAGGAACATTTCACTAAATGAAAATAGGACACAGTAACATGTTATTTCACAAAAATAACTATCTTATTGCCTCCTATAATATCAAAGTAGGCATTTTATAGTGCTATCGATATGCATATACTAACTCCTTTAGTTTGGAGTTTTGAATACATTTGCTTAGCATTGTGCTAATAGGTTATAAATTTGTACTGGCTTTTCTGTTGGAATTAAACTACAGTATTCTTATTTTTAGATGGAATAAAACTAGTGGTGGGATTCAGCCAGTTCGCACCACTTCAGCAGAACCAGTAGGTAATTTTTTGTTGCCCAGGCCCAGAATGGATTTCTGGAAGCGGCATCCACACAGAACCGGTTCACATATTTGAATCCTACCACTGAATAAAACTATTTTTATCCACGGAATGAAATGAAATCCACAAGCAAGTGCATTTAAAGAGGAGCAAAATAATGTCTTTTCTCCCTTGAATTAGAGAAACTGATTCCCATAGTAAGTCATCTAATGAAATAAGCAAGCAGAGGAATATAATGGAACTCAGCCAGTCAGCTGACTGTCATCTGACAGCCAGTTTATGACAATCTTACAAGCAATGTGTTGAGTATTTATAAATCTTAGTAAATAAAATTTAAGACAAGTTAAAAATAAATTTATAAAACAACCTAACTAGGTCAAACTGAGTAATCTACTTCTATAAAGTAGATATAGTTATAAAGTAGACTATAATTATCTAAAATTGCAAAAATAAGATCATATTTAAATTTTAAGTAAATTGTGGTTATATGTAAAGTTGTAGAAAAAAAATAAAAATCTAAGATTACAGAGAATACAGGAAAGCAGGAAATTGACCTGTCAGGATTCAGTAGATCTTCCATGCTGTTTCATGAAACCTAGCCACTTCCCTTCATTGCTCCTTTTAAAGGTATAACAAATGACACATTTTGACATGCACAAATGTTATCAATGTACTGTCAATGCATCCTGCAAAACACCCTTTATGGCCCACTACACAGCCCTGTGAAGGTTTAGGTTTTCAAAAAATGCATAATTTAGTAGCCAATATCTATGTTCAAGTGTATGTGCAAAATGGGGAACAGCCAAATGCATTTGCTTTGTTTATAGCTTCTTGTCTTTTCTTGCTCTGATCTTCTGATCTAGAACACTACATTTAATTGGGCAAATTTTCCGGTTGTCTTTTGCTTTCCATTTTGGAATGAAAAGGAAGTGGCTGATATCTGCGTTTAAAACTCTGTTAACTTGAACTTTAAGGCAAATTACCTAATTAAGCTAGTAAGTGGAAAGTAAAAGGAGAGGAACATATTATATTGAGAAAGATGGAGATAATTATATGGTATGCTATGTTAAAGAAGATAAATCACTAAAGCCTACTTGAATAATATCTCATAGTTGGAGGGAGTATATCTTCAAAGAATAAAGTTTCAGCTTCAATGGCATGAAATTCTTCTAATGTAGGATTTTTCTATTGAAATGGCTAAATTTTATATTCTTGGGGTAACACAAAAAGCAATCCATTAAACTAGTTATAAGGAAAGAAGCCAAACTACAGTTCTCAGTCTTTTTGAGTTCTAGGTAACCTATTAGGAACTAAAAATATTATAATTTTTCTACATTTCTATTTCTTGATTATCTAGTTAATTATTGCACAAGACCAATCATAAAAAGAAATGTAGCAGGATTATATAAGGATATAATTTTAAGGATAAAATTATATAAAAATCCTGAAACAATAACAAGAAGTAGTGAATTCTGAAATTTATAACTATTAATGGCAATTTTGCAACCTAATAGGCTTCTGGTGATCAATTAAATTTAAAAGAGTGATAACCTCATAACCACAGGAACACCTGAAGCTATCTGTTTTGATCACCATTGGAAATATAAGGGACATTGTAAAAGCACAATGGTACAGTTTCAACCTCTGTATTTTTGTTGTTAGTTACAAAGTCATGTCCGACTCATTGCGACCCCATGGACAACGTTCCTCCAGGCCTTCCTGTCCTCTACCATCTTCTGGAGTCCATTTAAGCTCACGCCTAGTGCTTCAGTGACTCCATCCAGCCACCTCATTCTCTGTTGTCCCATTCTTTTATTGCCCTCAATTTTTCCCAGCATTAGGCTCTTCTCCAGTGAGTCCTTCCTTCTCATTAGGTGGCCAAAGTATTTGAGTTTCAACTTCAGGATCTGGCCTTCTAAAGAGCAGTCAGGGTTGATTTCCTCTAGGTCTGACTGGTTTGATCACCTTGCAGTCCAGGAGACTCAGGAGTCTTCTCCAGCACCATAGTTCAAAGGCCTCAATTCTTGGTTGCTCAGCCTTTCTTATGGTCCAACTTTCACAGCCATACATTGCAACTGGGAAAACCATGGCCTTGACTATACATACTTTTGTTGGCAGGGTGATGCTTCTGCATTTTAGTATGCTGTCTAGATTTGTCATAGCTTTCCTCCCTTAGCTGCTTTTATTCAGTCAGCATCTTTTGAAGGTCAAGGATAGATACTATAGTGCAAGGAAAGGCCACAGTATACCAAATCATTATTGATTGGACTGCTTTTGATAGATTTAAATCTATTTTAACAAATGATCAACGACTAAGGAAGTTCTCCTAATATTTGCTACAGTGAGAATTTTAACTGACAGAATCATACTCTGAGTCCTTCTGAGCAAGTTCAGTTCAATTCAATTGAAAAAAAGATAATTAATAACAATGTGGGTTTCTCTGATAGTCTGAAACATTACTAAATTTTACTATCTACTTTTTGAGTAGGAAGCGTTAGACCCAGATTTTTCTTGTTTGCTCTGCAGCCAGGATTTTTATTGGTTATCATTAATATGAAGAAAGGCACAATCAGGTTAGCAACTTGCATAGCTAGTTAGAGCAGGCATTACCTTCTATGACAGCATTGTTTGCAGGAAAAACAAGGGCTCGGCCCACATATATAGCAACCTTAACCGCTAATTCTGGAAATACATGTCTTATTGGATTCTAAAACAAGAGCAGGCCTGTCTATTGAAACTAAGCATCGAGTAATTTTTCTTTGTGTTTAGTTTCGTGGCTTTAGCAACGTGTACCACCACGCTCACCATATGGAGACACCTGTGTCTTACAGTGTTCTAATACATCATTTCTTATAATTTCACAAAGCACATCAAGTAAGATAGAGGCAAGGTAGGACTTTTCCAAATCCCTATTGCAGTCAGACATGTTCCTAGTTTGGTGCTGGTCCTATCTAGTTTGTCCACATTAAATATAAATTCTTGGCTATATGAGAAAGCTTGTACTCTTCAAAACTGAACATTGTATTCAAAGCACAATTGGATAATGTTTATCCCATGAAACTTTGTTATATGATCCCAGCCAAACCATGTAAAGACACATGTATGCTGCATGAATTCTGTATTTCATTTGGCACAGAGCATCTGGGGAATTAGGGTTTTTTCTTTTTTTTAATCCATTCGAGCCTTCTGATCCAACTTTTTGAAGGTGGATATAGATTCCATTAGTGACAAAACTTTTTGATTAATACAAATTTAAAAAATCCTTCAAGCAATCCATTTGATAGCTATCTTTTTCTGGTTAAATTTGCCTTGGTGATAAAGTAGTCTATGACATATTTTATTTTTCTGCTGTAAGCTTAAAGAAACAGATACTATAATATTTAGTTTTTTCTTCATCACATCTCATTATGCTTGACTATTGGGAGCTTAAGGCAATGTACAGGGGAATCTTCCTTCATTTTCTTCCACTTTAGCAATTCATTTCATTAGGTTGAGCTGAGAATAGGCTGTTTACCTTAAAGGGAACTCCAGTTTCCACCGGAATTTACATCCCAGTCTTCCCAAGCTTATATCTACATGATATCATTGCAATGTTTGTAAAAGAAAGATACGTTGCCATTGAAAATAGCAAAAGAACCTAGGGTTAGGGTTGGGATTAAGATTAGGTTTCCTTGGAGTCTTGGCTGAAAACTGATATGAAGGATAAATTCTGAGTCATTTTTCAAACGAAAAAAATGGTTACAGCTTTTTGTTTGGAGTTGTTTGTGGTACATACTAAAACATTTGGGGAAATCCCATTGCCATTGAAAATGAAACTATGGTAAGGGTTAAGGTTAGGCCTCTTTGGAGTCAGGGCCAAAAGTAGATATCAGGGAGGGATTCTTAGATGTTTGTAAAAGAAAGTGACATTGACAGCTTCTCGTTTGGAGTTGTTTGTGGTCCACAGTAAAATAGATGGTAAACTCCATCGCCATTGAAAATGAAATGGGTTAAGTTGGGGTTGGGGTTGGGGTTGGGGTTGGGGTTAGGGTGAGGATTAGGTTTCCTTGGAGTCAGGACTGAAAATAGATATCAGGTATAGATCTTGAATCATTTTCTATGAAAGTGATAGTAACAGGTTTTCATTTGGAGTTGTTTGTGGTCTGCATGGAAATATCCAATTGCTATTGAAAAAGAAAATAGGGTTAGGATTAGGGGTAGATCTCCTTGGAGTCAGGGTAGAAAACAGATATCAGGTATACACTCTGAATCATTTTTCTAGGGACAATAATGATTATAGCATTTTGTTCGGAGTTTTTTGTGATCCATAGTAAAATATATGGGAAAATCCCATTGCCATTGAAAATGAAACTAGGGTTAGGGATAGGTCTCCTTGGAGTCAGAGCCAAAAATGGATAGCAGGGATAGATTCTGAGTCATTTTCTAACCGAAGCAACAGTTACAGTGTTTCATTGAGTTGTTTGTGGTCCACGGTAAAATACATACACTTCCTTTTGCTCTGTAAATGTTAATGCTGTTAATACTAACAGAATTATGAGTAATAAATTATATATTCTAATGTAATATGTATTACATATTCAGTTTGGATCCTGGCAAATTCCCTTGGCACATATATAGCTCTGCTTTTGGGTTTCTCTACTACTCATAAAAAATCACAAAACTGTAACTTTTAAAATTATCATTCAAGATATCGCTACATTTTCCTTCCCATAGAATTTCTTTAAATTTCAAGTTACAACTCAGTCAGGAATACAAGATCTAGTCACATAAGAAATTAGGAGGAAACTTAATCAATACTTAAAGCATTAATGCCAATTTTCTGAAGGAACACCAGTTTTTGTGAATGAGCTTGCAGCTGATAAATTATGTGAACTCTTTTGTTTGTGTTGTGTACTAAAGTCAGCTACAGATTGAAAACTGCTTCACAATTAAGCATTTTAGAATGCTTTCTTCACTACTGTATATTCAAAGACTAGCATTACAAGATCCAATCTGGGTCGGGCACCAGGGCCAGAGGCTTAGTCTCCTGAGCTTTCGGATTCATGCTGGAGCCCATCCTCAGGGAACTTCTCTCTACCAGAATGTGTGCTTTGGGCTATTGTGTGTGTGCTATTTATGTGGTGCCTGGTTGGGTGTGGCTTTTTATTGGTTGATTGAGGTATTGATGGCCAGCTATTAAGTCGTTGGCTGCTGTTTCATTGTGCTGCCAAGTCCAGGGCTCCTAAGTACCTGATAAAGCTAGTATCGCAGACCATTACCGACATGCAGAAAGAGAATCCAACTATTTTCACGTACTTCATTATATTCTTTTTCTCAGAATTTCCCATAGAGCATTCAAGACACTTGAATTTCATCAACTTTCAGTTTGCATTGCAGGTAAGACTCGAGTGCCCGTAAAGGGGGAGTGAAATAGTTCTATTAGCATTTTTCATTATCTTGGCAAGCAGGGAACAGACAGATCAGTGGAAAATAAATTATATTTCAAAATCCCAAGAAAGTACCATACCATTTCAGAATAGTATATTGTGGACCACTTAGAATGTTGTTTTAGATACAGATGGATTCAATCTCATGAAACATGAAGCTTCTTGGATGTGTTTGATCATTCATATCTTTTGCAATATTAAGATGAATAGAATAGAATAGAATCCAGTGGACAATCGCTTAGATATGAGCAAGCAACGTGCTGCAGCTGCCAAAAAAGCCAACATAGTGCTATACTGCATTAACAGAGGGATAGAATCAAGATCACATGAAGTATTAATACCACTTTACAATGCCTTGGTAAGGCCACACTTGGAATACTGCATCCAGTTTTGGTCACCACGATGTAAAAAAGATGTTGAGACTCTAGAAAAAGTACAGAGAAGAGCAATAAAGATGATTAGAGACTGGAGGCTAAAACATATAAGGAACAGTTGCTGGAATTGGGTATGTCTAGTTCAGTGGTGGCAAACCTATGGCACGGGTGCCAGAGGCGGCACTCAGAGCCTTCTCTGTGGGCACACATGCCGTCGCCCCAGTCCTAGGCCTTCAGCTGGGTTTTATAAAACCTTTTCGCTTTAGGCCTCCACCACCATGTGCAAAAAATAAAAAAGGTTCAGTCAATTTTAACTTCTGGCAGGGGAAAAAAAGGTCTTGCAAAGTTGGAATTGATTGAACCTTTTAGTCCCACCCAATCTGCCGTTACCACCGTAGCCACGCCCACCCAATGAGTCACGCCCACCCAATGGGCCACACCCACCCGGTATTCAACGATGCATAAGTGAGTTTTGGGTTGCAGTTTGGGCACTCAGTCTCTAAAAGGTTTGTCTAGTTTAATGAAGAGAAGGTCTAGGGGGAACATGATAGCAGTGTTACAATATTTCAGGGGCTGCTGCAAAGAAGAGGGAGTCAAGCTATTCTCCAAAGCACCTGAAGGCAGGACAAGAAGCAACGGATGGAAACTAATCAAGGAGAGAAGCAACCTAGAACTAAGGAGAAACTTCATGACAGTTAGAACAATTAACCAGTGGAACAACCTGCCTCCAGAAGTGGTGAATGCTCCAACACTGGAAGTTTTTAAGAAGAGACTGGACAGCCATTTGTCTGAAATGGTATAGGGCAGTGATGGCGAACCTTTTAGAGACTGAGTGCCCAAAAATTGGCTCCACCCCCGCTGTGCCCCCCATCCGTCACCCCGCCTGCCCGCAGGGCCACTCACCCCCTTCAATACTAGGTCCCCAGTATTGAATTTTTTCTGAGATTTAATGTAATCTATAGCAGTTCTGTGAAGTAAGAACTGTAAAATAACCAGGATCCTGGAAAAATAAAGATTATTCATAATAAGTCAAGCATTTACATTAGACTACATCTACCATGACTCTGAGGTGTTTCATTAGCTTGTTCTTGATCAAGAATCTGATCTGTATTCAGACTGACAACATCTCTTATTTGTACTGGCTGTAAACTGATTGGGAACCCCTTCAAGATCATATAAAGGGCATTTTCATTAGACTAATCAACTGCACCTGGTTGCGTTAATCCAGCCTTTGGGCAAGAGAAGATTACTGAGTACTCTTTTGATGCTGAGAGACATCACTCTGGTGAATAATTCATAGTCTCCCATGAACTGCTGCAGGTGCTCTTGCACTTGAAGAAATCAAAGCAGAGCTGGGGGAAAAAGTGCATGCTGAATTGGGATCATTATTTAACTCTGAAAAATAGAATTATGCAAAACAGCTTTATCATTTTGGAAACTTAAAAGGGAGGAGAGCTAAAACTATTCAAAGCATTCGTGGAGAAAGTCTTCAAGGAATTGAATGCTTGCTTACGCTGATCTTGAGATGGGATAAGACTGAACAGCTTAATAAGATTTTTAATGCCATTTTCTTTGGCTTTGTAGATTGTGTTTCTTCCTAATTGGCATTAGTCATCCAAGGTCACATTCAGTCCTTTTAGGTGACTGTGCAGTAGTATTTTGCCTTGGAACTCACAACTGCATTTGTCTTTGGAATTTCAGACCCCAAAGAAAGTTTAGAAATAAAATAAAATAAGCCAATTTGTAAAATGCAGTGCATAACAGGAATTGTCCTGTTCCAAGCGCAACAAACTAGCTGTGGGCTACTTATCCTAATTAGCTTAAATCCTTCTTTCTGGTTGACATCTGCTAAGGCAGAAGCAAGAGACATAAGCACTCTTAATCTCCTAGCTCAACTGAAAATGCCACAGATATTTTTCATAAGAGAAATTATTCAAGGGGAGAATACACTGACCAAGCTGGGACTGGAAGTTTCTTAATAAGCAGGCAATCTGCAAAGCAGTGATTCTTCAAGATGCTTTCCTCAAAAAATGCCAGCTCCCACCATCAGCTAAACTTGTGAGTTTTCATTCTTTTTTCATCTTTGCTTAATTTATTGGCTATCTATCAGTAGTAAAGAAGCTTAGGAAGACAGAGCACGATGGGTTGTACTCCTTCACGTAGTGATATTGTTAAGAATCCTGAAACAAAGTTGATGGATAAAAGAATTACATTAGTTGACCAAGGAGGTGAAGGGTTTTCATTTCCTTTGCTGATCAAAGGCTCATCTTCTTATGATACTGAAGGAATAAGACAGGAGGAGGCTCAGTTTAAAGTTCACTTCTTCAAAAATTTATCAAATGAAGAGAAGGATGTTAATTTCTATTCCTCATCTGAGGATCCTTTGCTATCTGAGCTGGACCAGGAAGAAAAAGAAATTGAAAAAATAGTCTCAGATACTGAGATAGCCATTTCTGAATCGATGAAGTTAAACAAAGACAAACATATGGCAGAAGCAATTATGATTAAAAAGCAAAAAAGTTGTGAATCAGAAAAGGCTGATGCTACCATGGGAGATAAAAGTGAAAGTAACAAAAATCAAAAACCCAAAAATGGGAAGAAGCAAAGGAACAGGCAGGGAAAACCAGGGCGTCCTTGCAAAATTAAAGAGAAATCCAGTCCTTCTGTAGGTCAGCCTGAGAAAAAGGTAGATTTCCCAGATGCTCTTGTTAAGGCCCATCAAAACGCATATGCATATCTCAATCCTAATATTGCCAAATATGAGGCTATGTTATGCATGACAGATCAGGTTACTGAGACACAACTAATTGTGCAACAGTTGGTGAACTTTTTGCTTACTCGTTTTGATGGAATCAATCACCTTTTAGAAGAAATTACTGAAGATGGAGAAGATCTGCTCAAAGAAGTGGGAGAAAACCTGGTTTGGCCAGCTGGCAAAGAAAATCCAAAAGAGCAGCCAGATCTTTTGCAACAATTACTACAATACACTGTCAACAAAATGCAGTTGTTAAATGGAACTGTGGCCTCTTTAGCCTCTGAGGTCCTGCAGGAGTCTTGCAACTTTTTGCAGTCTGCAAGTACCAGCTTAGAAGAAAAAATGAAAGCAAAGCAACATCTTGATGAACGCTTGGTCAGGATAATAAAGAATCTTGAAGAATCTGCAGTTGGATTTTCCCATCATTACCTTGATGATATGACTCTTTATTCTGAAGACAGTGGAATAGGCATTGACAATGAATCAGTGAAAGATCTGAATATTATTGATAGGCATGGAATGGAAATAAATTGTGAGACCATTCATAAATGTCCTTGCAACTCCAGGGATGGTATAAGCATGTCCCACGACTGTGTGTTGGAAAAACAGTTGAAGAATATATCTTACTCACCTCCACAGACAAGGAATGTAATATCATCATCTGAGGTAGTATCAAAAAGTAGATCCGCTTTTCTCCAACATCAAAATATCTTGAAAACCTTTAACTCTGGGCACTGTAATGTAACCCAGGAAAGTAATAGCTTCAAACAGAATGAATTGGGTAGCATTTCCTCCACAAATGAAGACAGTAGTGCCAACAGTTTAACTGAGGAAGAATGTGACTCTATAAGTCTGTCTGAAAAAGAAAAAAATGCTTTATCTAAAAGATCTATATCTTTTCCTGCAGCAAGAGAGAATAGACAGAAGTCTTCTACCAAACAAATAGATAGCGCAGATAATGAGATAATTCTCAAAATGAAAGACGCCATTAGTGAAAAGATAAAATTTGTTCCAGCTAAATGTCAGCAAAGGGCATGGATGGAAGATGAAAATGGAAAAGAATTTCCAAGACCTAGTACAGCTTCTGGGGGCCAGAAGACACAGGTTAAACAGAAACGGTCTAGGTCTGAGGTGTCTCTCAGAAGTCATGCTGAGGACCCAACTCTTTTGGAACTTCAAAGAACTCAAAAAGATCTTGACAGAAGGCTAGAATTATTTTATCAATTAAACGGAAAAGAGGAAATCAATGATACATTGGAAATATTGAATCCAAAAGAATTGTCTGATCTAGAATATTTTGAGCACGTTACTCACAGAACTTCCACTAATAAACTGAAAGCGTCTCTTGCTAAAAATTTCAATATACTGCCTGATCCTTCATGTAGATACAATGAAGACGTAAAATGTAAAAAATCGATCACAACTGGCATGTCTTCAAAAGATTTGACAGCTAAAAAAGAAAATTCTTCTGGGACCCCCAAACCAAACACTCCATATAAATCTGTGAAAAAGTTAATTGAAACATTTAGCCCATCTGAAAATCTGGTGAAACCCTCAAGCTTAAGAACATTGGGCCCAATAAAATGTGTCAGAAAGTTTGGACTTCAAAGCATTTCTCCCAATCTTCTACTTCCCAAAGGATTTGTGCCCTTAAATCACAAATATAAAGTTTCACCATTAGAAGATACCAGTTGCAAAAACATCAGAACTAGACATTGTACTCTTAGTGATAATAGTTCAATGGAACTTGCAAACGGCCATGATACAAATGAGGATTCTAGTGAGATTGATATAGAAAGCCTACCTCCTCCACCACCTGAAATGTTAATGGAAATTTTACATGAATCAACTGAATCTTCAGGAGATATAAAAATGGAAGAAAGTTATTTGGAAGTAGCTGATAAGACTGCCAGAGCAGATGAACAGTCCACCACCAAGAAAATTACACAGATTTCTCCACGGATGAAACTTTCCCTCTGTTCACTTGACTTGTTACCAAATAAGAATCTCAGCAATTCCTCAGCTGTCAACAAAGCACCAAATAATGGGGTAGATACCATACCAAATAAATATTTCTTGGAGTTGAATGCAACTCATATGTCTGATTGCCGCAAAAGGGAAGATGAAATGGAAAAAGTTGCAGATCTATATAAACAGTCTCATAAAATAATACCTCTTACAAATCCTAAAGAGACATCAGAACCAAACTGGAGCAAACTGGGAAACATGAGTAACAGTGAAGCTCCTTTACCTGAAAAGCAAAATTCTCCTGATTTATTAAAGAAAAATGAGAAAACATCAAGTTTTATCAGCCGAGTATCACCAGTAAGAAAACCACCTTCCTCACCTCCCAATCAGAAGAGATTTCCAAGTCCACCACTTAATTACAGAGCTATTCATCAAGTTTCTACTCCCATTCTACATCAGCAACCTAGTCTCTCAACTCACTCCAGGTCAACAAGTCCCCCAGTACAGAGGAAAGTGATTTCCCCACTTCCTCAGCAAAATCTCTCTAATCCTCCAGTGATACGCAAACAACAAAGCTCCCAGAATCAAAAGGTGTCCAATCTACCATGCCATGATCAAGAAGCAAGCCCACCTCCTTTTGCAACTACTCCTTCTCCATCCATTTCCCCATCTCAGTTTCATAGATGTTTACAAAACAATATGGATTCCAAGGAAGAGCCACATTCTGCCTCCCCAAAGATTGTTAGCAATGCTCACTCAATATTTTGCCTAGCTACTTCTTCTTTATTTGAAGCCAAGCCAGTGGTGTCATCAAACATCAACCCAATGGGAGAGGCTATGGCCCAGCCTGAAGTCGCAACTTCTGTAAGGAGAAATAGCATGCAACTCAGGCAACTTGTGGATCAACAGAGGACGATCAACAGTGCCGCTAGTCCTCAGCCTTGCCTCAGAAGGAGCTTCTCTGACCACAGGCCTGGATTCCAGCTTCCACTGCCAGTTTTTGTTACAGCAGAGAGCGACCCTGTGCTTAACCGAGCAAGGTAAGAAGTCTTAATATCAAAGCCTTTTCACTGCATTTAGATGTATAGTCTGATTGTCAGAATCCTAATGGTTTATAATTCATAGCTCTTTTCTGATAAGCTACTGTTCCGATGAGTAAAGGATTATAAAATAGGGGCACATCTCCTTGTGGTACACCTGCACATTGTTTTTAATAGTACATAATCATCCTGCCCTAATTTTTGATATATTGTGAGAACACAGACAGTATGACATTAGCATTGGCCAGGTTGCTTCCTTATTGGGTTTCCATGTGATGCTACTGTGAGAACTATTTCAAATGTTCTTATCTCTGAAACTGACTAGCTGGCTATAGTTCTTTTCTGGGTAACTACATTTCACAAAGTTATGCTGAAGCTAACAGCTCTGAACCTGTTGAAGAAAAGGTAGTTTGCTGATATAATAAACAGGTTTGCAAAGATGGAGAAATTTTGCTTATTGCTTGATAATATTCTTCTTTTAGTTATCTCTACTGGCCCAGGTGTTTTATATATATTTAATAGTCTAAATTCTTCTTAGTAGTCTTACTATTTTACCATGGCTGATGAAGCATGCTGAGTTTTCTTGTGTTTCCTTAATCATTGTTGCTGATTGTTCTGGAATCTCTTCATGTGAAAAATTGTTCCAGTATTTAAAAATCTAAGAATCCTAATAGAGCTGCAATTGAAATTGAGCAAACAGTATGATGCAGCTGCTAAAAAGATCAGCACAGTCCTTGGCTGCATCTGCAAAAGCATTAAATGCAGACCATGAAAGGTAACTGTTCTTTGTGGGGTTAGCCCACACTTAGAATATGATGACCAGAATAGTTAAGGACTTGTGCAAGTTTAGCTTATAAAGGAGAAATCTAAGAGGATATATAATAGTTGTCCAGGAATATCTTAAAGTTTGTTACCTGCAGAAGAGAGAAAAGTTATTCTCGGTTACAACTGAGAAAATAAGGACTAGCAGATTGAAATTAAAAGAAAGATATATTTATGATCAGCAACAGTAGGAATTTTCTAACCATCATTGCTAGAGAAGGGAATAGTCTACCAAGATTTGCAGTGGCCCCTTTCTTAATTGTAGGCTTTCAAATAGGAGGTGAAGAAGATACTTTAGTGAATCCTGAATTAAAGAGGAGGTTGAGCTAGATCAGTGTTTCTCAACCTCAAGAACTTTAAGATGCATGGACTTAAGTTCCCAGAATTCCCCAGCATACTGGCTGGGAAATTCTGAGGTTTCAAGTATATATACCTTAAAGTTGCTGAGATTGAGAAATGCTGTACTATATGATGCACAGTATATAGCCTCTTCCAACCTGTACATTATATGTTTGTATACATTTTATTTACCAAATCATGTTAATGTGACAAAGTAGACACAATATTAATTCATTATTATGCCTCTGTTTATACAACCAATCCTTGGTTATATAAATAGAACAGTGGTTCTCAACCTTTGAGTCGCGACCCCATTTGGGGTCGAACAACCATTTTACGGGGGTCGCCAAACAACGCGATCCGCCATTTTTTCCCCTCAGGGGGCGGCGCCGCGCATGCACACTGCGCATGGGGGCCCATGCATGCGCAGCGTGTCCTTATGATCGGGGGTCACCGTATAAAAAGGTTGAGAACCACTGAAATAGAAGCATAGAATCAAAAATCATTTGAAGTATTAGTACTGCTTTTTAAAGCCTTAATAAGGCCACACCTGGAATCAACAAAACCACATCCAGTTTTGGTCACCACATTACAAAAAAGATGTTGAGACTTTGGAAAAAGTGCAAAGAAGAGCAACTAAGATGATTAAAGGCCTGAAGACTAAAACATATGAAGAATGGTTGCAGGATTTGGGTTGGCTAGCCTAGAGAAAAGAAGGACTAGGGGTACCATGATAGCAGTATTCCAGTATTTGAGGGGCTGCCACAAAGAAGAGGAGGTCAATTTATTTTCCAAAGCACTAGAGGATAGGACAAGAAACAATAGATGAAAACTAATCAAGGAGACAGGCAACCTGGAATAAAGGAGAAACTTCCTAACAGTGAGGACAATTAACCAGTGGAACAGCTTGCCATCAGAAGTTGTGGGTGCTTCATCACAGGTGGTTTTTAAAAAGAGACTGAACAGTCACTTGTCTGAAATGATATAGGATCTCCTGCCTGAGCAGGGGCTGGACTAGAAGACCTCCAAGATCCAGCTCTGTTCTGATTGGCTGTAATCTTATGACAATCAGTAAAACTCTCAGGGGAAGTCTACTCAGAGACTGTGTAGTTACTGCTTCTAATTTATTATGGCCATTTTTTATTTTTTTTTTTGAAAGAGGAAAGAGGCCTTAGTTGTTTTTTAAATCAGTTATCTTCAAGCTTGGATTCGGCTTGATAGCTTTTAAACAAATAAAACTGTTTGACAGATTATTATATCAACAAGCTGGGTAACAGTTTTCTACTGAACATTTACACTCTCATCAGATTCAGCAATATAACAAAAACAATGTGTCAGTGGCCCCAAATTAGAACTGCACAGTATAGTAATATCCATTAACAGTTTCCTGACAGTTTCCTTTCCCTGAAAAACAAGGGAACAGATTCTCAGACTTTGAAGCTAAGTGAGCCAGCAAACCTCTGTAACGGTATTGAAAGAAGAGGTAGATTAGATTATTTTTCATTTGGTCATTAGTTAAAATCGGAGACAGCATGAAGAAATACTACAAAACCATATAAAATCTGAGCATTTTATTTTGGGCTAATGAATACCAGATTAAAAACTTCCACTGATATATTGATTAGGCTAGGAGCTGAAAAGGGATGCTAATCAAATATTTCACTTAATGTTAAGGCATCATATCCAAACATAGCCAGAGTAAAATTATTATTGTTGTTATTGTTTCCAAATTCTGAAGAAACCAGTCTTTAAACTACGGGAATAGGCCTCTAAATCACTGGAATATGGATATGCATAAAAACATAATATAAAAGTATATTATGTTATAAAATATTATTTTAAGGTTAAATCTATCAATAAAAGTAATTCATATTATAAAACAGATTACTGTAAATAAAATGTGTAAAAATTCAATTTATGTGCAAAACCTGGGCGTAGATATATGTCTATACTAAGTTTCTACATATTTATATAGATGCTCTCTTTATTTTTAGTCTAAAAAATCTGTTCTATCTGCCATAATTCAATTTTTTAAAGTTTCCTATCAATATTTTACTCCAATAATCCAAAATATATTATTATGATTTATTTAACTATATGTGAGAATCAACATACATAGGCATTTTGCTGTATAAATAGTATAACATATGGGACTTTCCCTAATAAAAGTAACTTACTTTACTTAAGACAATTTTTAGGAAGTGTATATATGTAGAAGGAAACATTGGGTAATTGTGGTAATACATAACTGCAGTAAGAGGAAATGCTAGAAGCAATTCTGATTGGAGAACGTGAAATTAATATCTAAATCATTACTTGCCTCTTCATTTTACATTGTGATGCAGCCACTCATGCTCTAAAGATTTTCATAAGGTTTTGTCTATCTGCATTGTGATTTTTCTGTTTTATGGTTACTTTTAGGCAACTGGGTGTGTAGGTTTTGAAACTGTGGCTGACTTTTTCCATGTAGTTTCTTTATCTAATTTACCCCTTGAAGGGAAAAAAATGTTTCACAGCCATTCAATTTGGAACAACAGCACCACTTCCCCCTACACACACACACACACACACAGAGAGAGAGAGAGAGAGAGAGAGAGAGAGAGAGAGAGAGAGAGAGATAAACAACATTAAAGTAATAAAAACAATGAAAAGAATGGCCACATAAGAACCTTTTATGATACAGGCCGGAAAAACCTATAACGTATCCAGTGGTAACAGAACAGCAATGCAACTGACCAAACCTGAAGCTATTATCTCTGTTGTTTTACTGTCTGATCTTTCCTGTATCCCTGTTAAAACAGACATGGAAGATGGATCCCAGAAGCAGGAAGGGGCATGCCCATGGCAGTTAAGGTGGTTAACAGGAATTAGAGTGATCCTTCCCTCAATAACAATAACAATAGTCGGAAGGGACCTTTGAGGTCTTCTAGTCCAACCCCCTGCTCAGGCAGGAAACCCTATACCATTTCAGACAAACGGTTGTCCAGTCTCTTCTTAAAAACTTCCAGTGTTGGAGCATTCACAACTTCTGGAGGCAGGTTGTTCCACTGGTTAATTGTTCTGTCAGGAAAATTCTTCTTAGTTCTAGGTTGCTTCTCTCTTTGATTAGTTTCTATCTATTGCTTCTTGTCCTGCCTTCAAGTGCTTTGGAGAATAGCTTGACTCCCTCTTCTTTGTGGCAGCCCCTGAGATATTGGAACACTGCTATCATGTCACCCCTAGACTTTCTCTTCATTAAACTAGACATACCCAATTCCAGCAACCATTCCTTATATGCTTTAGCCTCCAATCCCCTAATCACCTTTGTTGCTCTTCTCTGTACTCTTTCTAGAGTCTCAGCATTGTGGTGACCAAAACTGGATGCAGTATTCCAAGTGTGGCCTTACCAAGGCATTATAAAGTAGTATTAACACTTCACGTGATCTTGATTCTATCCCTCTGTTAATGCAGCCTAGCACTGTGTTGGCTTTTTTGGCAGCTGAGCACACTGCTGGCTCATATTTAAGTGATTGTCGACTAGGAGTCTGAGATCCCTTTCTGAGATCCCTTGAATGTATTAATAATCTCATTCTTGTTAAAGCATGTTTGACTGTACTGACAAAGTTGTGTAAGAAGAGGATATGTGTTACTCTAAAATGGAATGCCTAAGACAATTTTAGGCAGCTTCAACTATATGTTGAGGAATGAGATGAAGGCAACAACTTAAGGACTGACACAAAAATGTGGTCCTGGGGCATGTTCATGCTGTGGTTAAGAGGATGCAATGATGAGACCTTAATGATGTACATTCTTTTGTCATTTTATGGTTCTGTTAAAAGTAGTATTCAATTATGAATTTGGATTATTTTTCTCCATCAACCATCATAATCACTATAGTTTTTGCTGAAGATATTTAGTAAATTCCCTTTTTCGTTGCCCTTAAAATTTTTAACAGAAACATATATACCAGATTATATGCACTAATGATGTTACCTAATTTGGGTAATGAAGTGTCTTCAAGAAAACAACCAAATACACTCTGAGCACCAAGGACCCCTCATTTCAACTCTGAGCTATATATATTGTCCTTGATTGGTAGTATGTATGCCAGTTTTAAATAAGATGACAATATATATCCTATGGTTCTACCAAAATTCAGGAAAATTGAATGATAAACATAAATTATGGTAGAATGCTTGAAAAAAAAATTACATTAGCTGTTAGTGTAGATCACATCTTTCTTCCAGAAGTTCATACATAGCACTTTCTCTACCATCCATAACAGCCCTATAAAACACACTAGGATGAAACTACAGTTAGTCAAAAATCAATCAATAAGCTTTCATGATTGTAAATAAACAGTACCTGATCTACCACACTACACATGGACAGAAGTTTCTAAACACTTCTGGGCATAAACTAATGGGCATGCTGAACAATTCCTAATAATTCTAGCACAGTTGTAATTTCAGTGCCTTTCAAATGTTCCTGCTTTTTACATAAAAAGAATACTTTATTTTAAAAATCCATTCTATGAATATGTGTTTAATGTGTGCATGTTTTATGTAGGTCACTGAAATATGATATTTGGAATGCAAAATGTTTGTGCTAGGAATTCTTGTCCTCCAGGGATAATTTTACTGATCGTTTTCTACAAAGAAATTGGAATTAAAAATGAACTGATAATTTTCTTCCTTTCCTAGATTAACATAACTTTTCTGTTATTTTATTTGAAATATTAAATTTCACTAGGCTTTATTTTTTTATATTTTTTGCAGCATGGAAAATGGCCTTTTAAAGGAAGGAAATTCTTGGAAAAGCAAATATTTCTCTGAGGGAAAAGAAATAGGCAAGTCATTTTCTTATCCTGAACTCTACATTGTGGGCCAAGGACTCCAGAAGGCCTAAGTAGAAGTAGTAAGATTGGAAGAAGTCAAAGTCCAGACTGAGGATATCTACATACTGTCCTATGGAACTTGCATTTCTTTATATCACAGAAGACAAAATATTGGGTAGAATTTGACAGCTGAACATTGTGAAGTTCTAAAATGCATATAGAGCTCACAGCTTAGAAAATGGCGTATCTATTCAAAATATGAAAAGATCAATATTTGCAAGTCAGAGTGTTATGAGCCACAGAAAGCATGTAAAATGCCAGACATCTCCTAACAACACCTAATTTTAGATAATTCTGATAAAGGAGTTATCAGAGTTAGGGAATGACAAGGGAAAGCAATTGCTGAAAACATCTGGTGTAGGAATCTCTTTTATCAGTTATATCTTTATGAAAGTTTGTTGTTAAACTAAGAAAAAAGATTGCCATGGGGAGTGGGTATGCCTATTCCACAAAAGGACGCCATTGTAGGCAAAGTCAATAGCAAACACCTATTTTATTAGACAACAAATAGGTGATTGCTACTTGCCATTCATTATTTACACATTAAGAACAACAGTAAAAGAATTAAGAGTTTCTGGAAGTCTGGTGAGCACCAAGTAGGTGTCCATAACCACACTAATGCCCATAGTCACTTTTCAGTCTTATCAACAGTAGTATCTTCTGCTGGATCACAGAAAGCTTACTAGAAAAGCAGCAAAATCTGCTAAAAAATCTGGAAGCACGATTCAACAGTGCACATAACTCATTGTTGGACAAAGATAGATGATGATGATAGATAGATAGATAGATAGATAGATAGATAGATAGATAGATAGATAGATAGATAGATAATAGAGATGATGTATATTACTAAGAGCACTGAATTCTGTAAATGAAATAAGTAGATGATATAGTATAAATAATTAGGATGAACTATGTATTAGAATAGAAACCCCAAAGGTGGTTTTGGCCTTGGTGATCCCATCTTTGGCCAGTCCACACATACTGCAAAACTAGGTTATGTATCACCTAGTTTTTGACTGTATATCCATGTATTTTGATTAGCTATGCATCTTTGTTTTGCATTATTCTGTGGTGCCATTATTAATGTATAAGGGGATAAAAATCAAGTAGCCAATACACAAGAGTATCAATTATATTTAATAATGATTTCTTTAAAAATCTGCTTTTCAGAGGTAACCTCAGTCATTGTATAATCACACTGCTTCCATGTTTCAAGCTTCATCTTAATTAGAAAAAAATGTGTCACACAATCAGACTTTTTATAGCAGCTCTAAGATACGGATTTGAGAGAAGAGATGAAGGTACAATAAACCAAATCTTTCTTATATTCCATTCTATTTCATTTGATTTTCAGTATAGAATTGCAGAAAGAGTACAGTCCCATTGCATTAATATTGTTGATGAAGTTGTTTGATAGGATACTAAATTATGTATCTTGATATAAAGCATCCTTTCCCAATGTAGCATATACCAGATGGATTGGACATCTGGACATCTAGATTATTTAATTCCAGTAATCCCAAAACAATGTTAAATCAAACATATTTAGAGGGAATCAACCTGGGAAGATTGCTTTAAAACAGAAAATAGTCTATATTGTGAAACATGAAAGCCATAGATTTATTTTTTCAAGAAGAATTTCTGTATGTAAGCACAATCATTTGTTACTAATCTGTTTTATGAGGATGATTTTTCTAAAAAAAATCTGTAAAAGTATTTTAAAATGTTATTTTATAATTATGCATATTTTTGTAACGTTCACTGCAGGTTTTCTCCACATGTATATGACTTAAACCAATTATAAATATAACTTGATGTTTATTTTAAATGTATATATGTTCTTTTGTTTTTAAATGTACTTTAAGAAACCTTACAATGGACGAAATTCTCTCTTATACTATTAAATCTCTGTGTTTTAGATTGTAATTTGTGTAATTTTAAATCAAGGACTGATTAATACAAATATTAAGCTGAAAATAAAGATTTCTGTTGTATAGGCAAATGTTCAAACATTTACCTAATGAAACCTACAATCAAGGTGGTGTTTACTGTAGCTTCAGAGGCATGCACAAGCACTCACTGCTTTCCTTAGAAAGAAAGAAAAAATCTGTCCAGTATGTTGCACTAAGCTCAGCCCCTTTGAGACATGCACACAACATCATGATGCATGAGGAAGAGGGGCTGGGCTTGCATCATGATGCTTTGTCATTGGCTCAGGCAACCTAAATTGTATGAATAAATGTCACACTGGTGCCCCTTCCTTCTGTGTGGATGCCACACTATGGCTCCTTAAGTTCACCTTTCAAAGAACAATCAGTGAGATGACCTTGCCTCCAGAAGTTCTATGTGCTCCAACTCTGAAGGTTTTTAAGAAGACATTAGAAACCATTGTCTAATCTGCAATGGTACAGGGTTTCCTGCCTGAGCAGCAGGGTTGACTAGAAGACCTCCAAAGTCCCTTCCAACTCTCTTATTCTGTTACTTTTTGCAACTGAATTTTTTGAATCTGCTATCAACTATATCTTTGCTATGGAATCAGCAGAGAAATTTGGATGGTTACAAGAAGGCAATGGAAAAATTAATCCTGTTGTTTTGCCAAAAAAAATTGCATGGATGGGTAAATGGAACCACCAGGAGTCACATTCAGTTCAGTGACTTGACTTGCTAGTAATCCTGTTTCTGTTCATATTACATATCTTCATGTGGACAACAGATAGTAGAGTTGTAACAGATTGGGAAATTTTATAAATTTCATAAAATAAATATGCAATTTAAGCATTTATTTATTTTTTTGCAAAAATATAAGTGCCATTTTGGAGTGTGAAAGAATTTAGAAGTTAGAATAACATCAGGCTACCTATGTCTGATGAATCCCAATAAAACCAAAACAGTTGTGTTGGTCAATGAAAACACCACACAGAATATAAAACAGAGAAGTTTTATAAAACCTTGTACAAACAGTGATGACATACGCCTACACTAACAATAAGCCATAGCTTGATTTTTGTGGGTGGGCCTAATATAAGCCCTATCCCAAAAATAAGCCCTAGTTTTGGGCCGAGTAGGGGTGGGAGTGTGGAGCTGCCCCACCCGCCCTACACTCACTTACCTTGCAGTCAGGACTCTCCTTGCTGGCCCATTTCTTCACGGGCTTTCCAGAAGGCCAGTGCAGCCAAGAACCAAACTATGGATTCAGTCCATAGTTCAGTTCTGCAAGACCTCAGCAGCCGAGCACCAAGCTATGGATTGAATCCATAGCTCGCTACTTGGCTGCTTAGGCCTTCTGAAAAGGCCTGACTACAAAATGCAAGCCTGAATGCAGCTGCAGATCTTTGGCCCCAGAAGAAGTGGACTGGCTGGGTGGGGCTGTTGGTGCTAGAGGTGTGGTAAGTCCTACCCCGAAAATAAGACCTGGTGCCTCTTTTGGAGGCCAAAAAAAAAATAAGACCCGGTCTTATTTTCGGAGAAACGCGGTATATAACATCTGTATCTCTCTGCTTTGAGTGCTTAAGGAAAGATAAATTATAAATAACATTTAATCTTTTTTTTTCCAATAGCGTGGCAATGATGATGTAATCAGAACTGAAAGAGCCATAATATTAGCCTTTGGAAAGTAGGGAATTAATATATTTTTTACAGTTAATATTAAAAAATGTGTTACGCCTACTGGAAGCTTAATGCACCTATTCCTCTCATTGCCCATCAGCGTAATTGAATATTTTCTAATGAACTGGGAAGAGCTTAGGTCTGCAGGTTATCTACCATTTCATTACATTATTCCAAGAAGCCACTCAAATATACAGATTTATTTAATTCATCATTCTGATGTTCTGCTTTTCTTTTCCAATTAAATGCACATCCAAGCAGCCTGTTCAAGAGGTTTTTTTCAGCCCGGGAGGATACACAAAGGTATGCTACTATAATTTCCCCCATTATCAAAGCAAATCTCTATTCTGCCTCAATAACAAGGCCAGCAAGAGGAGCTGTCCTGAAAGTTTAGTGCTAGGTAAATAAAGTGTGGTGACTGAAGTATATAAGAAGTAAAACATTAGAGTACTATTGCAAGAACTGTCCTGTCCTTCTGACAAAGTATTTCTCAATTTCTACAGACTTATTTTAAACTGTGTGCATTGCATTTTTGCATGAAGTATTATTCTTCTCATCTGTCCTATTACCTACTCCTATTGGTATCTTATGGCTATCACTTTGTTGGTTGTATGTACATTGAAAGCTTATGCACCGGAGATAAAACCCATATGTGTCCTATTAAACTTGACCAAGAAAGAATATTGTGTTCTTTAAAAATAAAAAGTATAGAAAGATTGATCACAAACACATATCTCCAAATTGAATGAAGAATTGTGGCACTGAAATAAGAGAAGTACCTCTAAGGATATATTTTGCTATACAGTTCCAGAAATAAGAGGAAAGCAAGAAAGTACTGCATTGTTGATGGGCATAGAAAAAGGAAACTGATGGATCTAAATAAGAAATGATCATCAACAAACATGTTTTGAGATATAGAATATTAGAGAAGAAAGAGGGGGACTTCCACCCCATCCTTATATTAATGGAAGTGGTGAATTAAAATTTCTATGGAGGATCAAAATATATGGTACTGAAATAAATTTATAAACTTGAATGCTAAAATTTAACTTTGGACAAGTTTAAGATTGTTGAATGGTTAAGACTTTCATTTTAAAGACCATTGTTCATATTGAAAACTAAATATATGCTGACACCTAGTGGTGGATGAAGATTATGACAGCTATGATTTCCACAGAGAACTTGCCAAAACCTGAGAAAAGCTAATCTGTGTTTGTGACCTTCAAAGCTTTAATAATAAAGAACAGCTGTGACAAAAAAGACAACAATCTGGGCTGCAGACAAAGGGAGAATTATAAACTTTAGGGAAAAAATCTTTTTTTGAACTCTTTGGATTACAAATATCTATTTAACTGGGACTCTAAAGCTCTTTGCAAATAAGAAGGAAAACTCCAACTTTTGGCCATCATGGATCAGAGACACGTAGACAGAACACACCAAGAAAACATAAATACCTCTCAGGAGGATATATATAACGTACTACAATTAATTCAAATAATACTGAGTTCAAATCACAAAGAAATCCAAAATAACTTTGAATATACAAATCAATTTATCTCTAAGTTAACTTTACAACAAAAAAACTTCTAGGAAACAACAATAGAGAAGGAGCAGACAAAACAAATAAGTGGACATAAAATTGAAAATAGAGACTTAAAGATGGAACTTGACAAAGCAAGAAAACATGATTTAATCCTACTGGGGAAAATTTACAAGAAATGGAAAAAAGAACTTTTCCCTTAAGACTACAAAATAAATCTGAGGACAAAAAAATAGATTGAATAAAATGGAATGTAGAGATGTTGAAAACATCAGAGAGAAAGGAAGTGATAAGAGAAGCAAAGAAGGAGAAAGAGAAAAAGATTTTCAAGAAACATGGAAAGGCAAAAGCCTCACATAAAGTCACATTCGATTTACTTCTTATACCTATAGCAACAGTCATGAATATATGGAAAAACTTTTTGATTCAGCAAAACACATTGATCAAGAAAGATACTGGTCAAAGGAAAAAGATGAAAGTGAAAATTAAGAAAATAGATGATGGGATCTACCAGAGAGAATATTTTAAAAAGAAACATTGTTTGAATATGGTTAAAGAAATAGAAAAGATTCTGAATGCATATGTCATTCTAAGAGAGATGAATTCCTTAAATAATATTGTATGCTTCCCCCCCCCCTTTACTTTATTTCTTGATATAAGTAATATAATACTGCTGAAATGGCCTAGATGAAGGAAATGTTTTAAATAATTAAATGTGTCTGAATTTAAGGAAACTATAATGTATAAAAAAATGTTTTGAACAAGAGTCAAAGGATTAGATGACTAGACACATTAAATGGAATATTTAAAGATTAAATATATATTTTAATCATGGTTAAAAAGAATAAGAAATTTTGGGAATGAATATATATTACCTTAGGAGGAATATATATTTTAAGTAGTATTTTACTTTTTATGTTTCTTTACTTTTGCTCTTTTTTCCTTTTCTTTACTGTTTTTACCTATTTTTTAAGAAATGTAAAAGTGTTGAGGTGGTTTATATGAGAAAAATGGATTTAAATCTTTAAATGTAATTATCTGTTGAGAAAATCTTAACCAGCAAGAATATTTTGAACTTTATGGAAGAAACAAATCTAAATAAGGACTGTAACAGGATAAAAGATGAAGCAACCAGAATGATTAGATAGAAAAGAAATATTATATTGATGTGTTCATTATTTCTAGGAATATTGGGGAAAAATCATATATGTAACTGTTATTTATCAAAATAATAAGAACTGTATTATTTCAAGGTTTGCAAAGAAAACATTTTGGGGAAAAGGGGAAATCAACTAAATATACTATGTGGATTATGGATTATAGAAACCAATTGTTAATGATTTTTCTTTACAAATGTAAACCCAGCAAACACACTGTTTACCAACTATTAAGTGATTTATGTTTTAAAAAATCAATAAAATATATGGGAAAAAAAGAAAAAAAAGAAAGAGACAACCACTCGAGAAAACAGTAGTAGCTAAGGAAAATTTAGAGAAAAACTGCAGAACTCAATGAAAAAAGTGTGAAATAAACTTTATACCAAATCCCCCAGACTGTTTCTGCAATTGTAATAAAATTGGTATTATTTTTTTTTTTTGCCAGCTTGCAGGGTTAACCCGCTCCTGGCTTTCACTGAGAACTCAAAAGACAAGAAAAAAAATAAATTGGGTTGGCTTTTCTCTCTTTTTCTTTCATTTTCTAGAATAAAAATACATTCACATTTTTTTTCTTTTTATATTACTCCCATTACTAATATATCTTTCAAAATAATCCTTTTCAGTACAATATCCCCACATCCTGTGGATAGCTAGCATTTTAAACCTGAAAAGTATGAGCCTTTGCTGCCTGCTCATTTGGGAAGCAATTAGGAATTTCTTTTATTTTTAATGGGTGATACCCTATGGTTTGTACTGCTAACATCGTCAGCATTTGAAAATGGAATGAAAAATGTGTGATTCTGCCTACCCTGTAGAGAATTGGCCTACCAATTTTCAATATGATCTAGGACACCTTTTTACAGACAAGGAAAATTATTCATCTATATACTACTAAAACTCTCTTTTTGATACTTTGTGACCTTCAGTTCGGTGAATCACTGCATTTTAGAACAAAACTTTGTCAACAAAGGTACTTCAAACAGCTAAGTTACAGAATGCAAGGACCCTTTAATCCAGAAGAATTGAAATTTGGGACTTTTTTTTTTTGCTGTTTCATTTTTTCCTGCTGTTCAGTGCTGCTGCTGTGTTGCCGTAGTTGGCCATGGTGGTCCTCATTTTCAACATTCCCAGAGCTTCTCACAAGTTGTGGGGATCCTAGAAGGAACTGATATGATTATTGAAGCTCCTTGCCACCTTTTCCCTAGCAAAGTCTTTGCTTGTGGGAAGCTTGCAGGAAGAAAGTCAGTAAAGAAATGGTGCATCCATCCCATCCAAGCACAGTCCCTCTGAATTTACCCTATGCTGGTCAGCCATGAATTCCTCTACTTAGCAGCAGCTGTTACCTGCAGGCTAGGCTGGGCTGGGCTGGGAGGGGCTGGGAAAAGAAGGGAAGGGAAGGGAAGGATTTCTAATGCTCACTGCCAGTTTTTCACAGAGAATCTCAATGAGAAAGCTGACAAGTTGGAAGTCAGTCCCACTCTAACTGTTATTTTGTCTACCTGTGGCCATTCTGTTTCTATGTTTAGGTAAACAATGGCCCAATAGGTCATGGCTGGTCTAGTTTTGACTTAAAATAACAAGTTTTAACAATTAAGGGGTCATCTATCTTTCATATTTTGATCTGTGAACTGAGGTGAACATATACAGTAACTTTAGCATTTGTAGTCCAACAGATGTGAAATCTGCAGACATACTTCTATTCCTTGGGACCAGGATAAAAGCCAGATTTAAGGATCAAAGGTCCCCATCCAAGAGACAAATCAAACGAACTAAACTATCATTTTTTTCATAGGAGACTCCTTTTTTACAAAAAATCTGTAATTCTGGCATTTTAAATCCAAACAGAATAAAGGCTGTGCGATTTTAGAATACTCCTTTAAAACATCAAATATACCAAGTTTTAAAGGACAAATTTATGAATGCTGTATATTTAGTGACAGAAATCAAATCTTTTAAAAATCATTTTACAAACATTCCTGTACTCCCTGTGGACATTCAGAAATCAACCCTAAATGAACCAGTTCAAAAATTGTTTATAATGGAAGTAAAAATCAAGTATCGTAATCACTTAGGCATTCCAACTTACTTTCTCCTAACCTTTCTCTTAAACTGATCTTAGATGCTGATTCTGGCAATTTTAAACTCATTTTGGGATGGATCTATGTGTATACTATGCAAACTTTGAAATGAAATAAAGTTTGAAAAATATCATTATTTATTTTCAGAATAAGCAAAGCAATAAAATTTCTATAGTTGTCACCAAATCTCAACATTTATATAAGAATTATAAGCAAAGCACTTTAAGTATAAGTCTCTCATTATCTCCTGGTACTGTAATAATTCAGATCAAACTCAGCCATGCATAAAACCATGCTATCAATATCTCTTTTACCGGCTACAAAATCGAGCCTTGCTGATTATGATTGAACGATTTTTGAAAAAAGTAAGGACTGGGTGAACATTGGAGATATCTGCTAATTTCAGAGCCAATTTATCACTGACTTCTTAAAGCAGTTCCTTCAAGTTTTCACCAGTTGCCAAGGAACAGTATTATGCAACATAAAATTCAGACTAGCAACATTCATTTGAATGAAGAATGTGATTTCTTTTAAAATTGTGGATTTATTTTTAACTTATGAAATCTAAATTAAAATAGGAATCTACATTTCTTTATTTGGGATAAAACATATGCACATGTTATCACCCATTAAAGCCACTTTCCAAAGAATAAGTAGCATTCAGTATTATTTATGCTTGTTCTTATTCTAGAAGTAAAAAAAAAAAAAAAGGATTGGGTTCATTTTATTAACTGTTGTTTCCAAAATGTTCATGAGAGAAAGTCTTCAGTTTTATTGTTAGCTAAAAGGTATGTTTGATTTTTACAATAAACAGAAACATTTTGCAAGTTTAACTGCTTTAATGTGGATATATAGACAGTATTATAGCAGGGAACCTGACACACAATGAGGCTGTTCATTGGCTTCTCATCACATTTCATTACATTGTATGAATGTTTATGGGGTGTCACATTCCCTACCAAAAGCTAAACATTGGCAAGGACACAAAATAAAGATTTCATAAAATATTTTTTTCTGCAAAGCTTTACCTGTACAATAGCTTTCTTGGCACAGAGACCATATATGCCCTGCTTAAATCATACAGCTTGAGATCTAAATCAGACATAAGTGGCCACAATGTTTTTTATTTATGGGAGCCCTGCCCCCTTTTTTTTTTAACATGTGGCAAGAATCATGGTTCAAGAAAATGGAATCCTAAGTAGGAACCTAAAATAAATACAATATTATGTAACTTCCTTACTTTGAATTGATTAATTAGGTGCCATCAAGTTGGTGTTTACACTTAGTGACCACATAGGTGGATTTGTTTTGGGATAAGCTGCCCCTAACTCAAATTTTCAGATTTCCATAGGTGCACAATTGCCACTGTAACTGATCCCATCCACCCTGCTGTTGATCATTATCTTCTTCACTTCCCCTTGAGCTGTAGTCCTTTTAAAGGAGCTAGATCTTCACATAATGTATCCAAAATATGATAATTTGAGTCTGATTAAAATCCATTTATTTGGCTATCTATGGTATTCTTAGGAATCTTTAAGTAGATTTCTTTAAATGAATATATTTTTCCATCATAGTAGTAGATCATTTTAATTAAGATTGCATGGCAAAAAATTAATAATGGTAAGGTGACCAGGCAACCCCATGTTTTGGAGAATAACTGGGTTCCTCAGGACACATTGCAACACACGTTTTCCATTGAAGACAGATCTTCTGATCTATTGAACTGCTTCCCCTCTTCTGATTTCCTTTTTTTTTTTTACCTAAAATGGCACCACAGTATTGTCTTCAGTTTACAGGGGAATGTTTGATATATCTGTATAGTTTTCTTCAGTAACAGGAGAGAAAGAGGTGGAAAGGAATTAAAAATTTATTTCCTCCCAATTTCTTACTGTTTTCCAGATTATCTGCTAGTTTGCAGTCTTCACAATTGCTTTTTTAAAGGGAAGAACAGGACGGAGAAAACTGGTTGCCACTGAACATATTCTCTATCTTGACCTTGGGGAGAGCACTGTTGCTGATACCATATGAGGCTAATGGTTAAAATGTTCTTGCTTGCACAACTGCTCCAGATTTGGAAAACATTTTTCTTCTGTGTCTATACACATTCTAAACCAAGAGCAGCTCTAAGTTCAGCAACAGGTGGGAAAGGATTGTTCAGATCTATTTATAACTGCCTCCTTCTCCAGTGGCTGCTTACTCAGCCCTACAGGGATTGCTGAATTTGTCATTCTGTTCCTGGTCATGTCTGTCAGCCACACTTGAGGGATTACCTTTGTATCTGGCCCCTAATACTAATAAGAACCATACAGCACTAATAATATGGACAGTGTTCATCCAGATCCCAACATTTTACATCTCGGTCTTAAAAATAGCATCCAAGCAGATCCTACTGGCATTTCTGAATAGAGAGAATATTTCTTTATTCTCTCTCCTCATACATGCAGGGGGTTTTAAGCTAACTGCTCAGCTTAATTATTATGCCTACAAACGAAGGCAAACCTGCTGTGAACAACAATTGCTCATAAAGAAATCTGCAGAAGGGTGGGAAGGTTTCAGAGACAACCGAGAGAAAAATCTTTGTTGCATTGCCCACACAAAACACAGGCCATCAAGTAAATATCTACAAATGACATGTAAACAAGTACATGTAAATACACATTTCAATCATTTTGTCAGGTTATGGAGGGTTAAAAATATCAGGAAGCATAAGACCTCACACATTTGTAGACTTTTATCTTGGCATTGTGAAAAAAAAAGATTCCAAGATGTTTGATATCCAAAGCAGGCAGCCCCAGGCTTTCATTTAAAGAGGTAGAGTACGTGCATTCATTTAAACTTTCTCCAACTAAAATGGAAAAAAGCTGGATTACATAATGTCAAACCTCTTTACTGATGAGACCAAGGATTAAATCTTACAAAATATTCCCTTCTCCTCATGTAATTTTTATGTTTAAAGTGGTCCTTTCTAGACTCCGGCACTTGAACTTCAATTCCCATAATTGTTGTCTGCATCTGTTGTGATTTATTTTGATTGCCTTTGGAAGAGGATTTATACTCCCAACAAAGGCACTTGATTTGGAAATTCTATCCCTATAGGTATACCCGCACACATGTGTACATTTTTGAAAAACTACTAAGCGGGATATACACCGGGTCCTCTGGATTGGATGCTATGGAAATAACTACTAAGATTTCCTTTTTAAAACTTCCCAATGTAGACTTCCCCATATAACAAATCTTCTTTCCATGAAGTTGTGCTTGAAATGGCATGGCAAGATTTAAGACTGTCTGTAAATTTGTTGGCTCAAATTTCAGTTTGGGTAGCCTGAATGTCTTTGGAGAATAGAAAGATGGTTCCTAAGTCAAGTCTACAGAATCAGACTCATTTTCCATCTAGCTCAATATGGACTATTCTGATAGCTAAATGTTTTCTACACTCTCCAGAAAAGCTCTCCCAGGTCATTTGCCATCTGTTCCTTTGCTCTTTGTCCCACCTAACATATTTCATGCACATGCAAACTGCATGTACATAAATTTTGAACATGGAATTGGAACCTCTGTTTCAATGCTCTGAGTAATGTAACTCGTTCAGAAAGAAGTGCCTCAAAATTGCATTTCTTGGATGCAATTTAAAAATTGGTATTTTTCCTTAATATATAAAATGTTCATCTTGCCTATTTGGGGCCCAAGAATTCTTATCAATATGCTTATTTGATATTTTAAGCCTTATTTGATCTTTCAAGTATTAAGGGCTGTATGCTACTATTAGCAGCATGTGGTCTGGCGTAGTTTTGTTTCTCTTCCTATTCTTCAGTCCTTCCTTGTCCTGATTATTATTCATTTTATTATTCCCTTTATATCTGCTTTCCACTGGAGGCTCAAGGTAATCTTGAGGGATTTTCTATTTTATCCTCGTAACAGTCCTCTGAAATAGGTTGGAGTGAGAGATATTGACTGTCTCAAAAGCATCCAAGGTACCATTTCAAAGTTAAAAGGCCGTTTCAAAATTAATCTGTAGGAACGGAACAAATAATTGAGAGCCCAGTTTGAAATTCAATTCCATTTTAATACACATTCATTGTAAAAAAAATTATTACATTTATGCTCTTATTGCTCTTTGTCTTATTCAGAAAAAAATGGGATGTAGCAGCATAATAAGAAGATATTTTAAAACTGGTTAACCAAAATTTTGTTCTACATTTCCACACTGTGAATTATACTGTTATGTGTGCTCTGTGTGAGTTGAATTGCTCTCTTCTGTACTCTGTGTAATTGCATGTATGTGTGTGTTTATACCCATGTGAGTATGCCTGTCTGGGTGTATATATGTCTAATGCTGCTTGTTGTGTCCTTGTGAAGGTTAAACAAGAAAACTGGAGCAGAAACTGGCACACGCTGTTTGTCAACAGGATAAATCTAGCAGAGGCTGATGAAACCTAAGTCTTTGCACAACTCTTGCCAAGTAAACTGTCCTGACACTTACTGATCCTTTTGTGGTGGTGCTAGGTAACTGTGATTGTGATTCATAATGCCTCTTCAAAAAGAAAGATCCAGATTATAACAGTTCTATGTTTTCAGGCATCCTGAGAATGAGGCAACAGAACAGGATCCTTTTTACGTAAATAATAAAACTTCAGAAATTTCAAGGCAGATTTCAGGGTGGCAAAGGTGGAATAGCAAACTAATTGATTAATAAAACAAATTCTCTGAATCCCTTGCCAAAAAATGAAGCCCCAGCAATAGAAAATAGAAAATGCTGCTGTTGCTTTTCTCTTTCTCTTCCTCTTCCTTCATATGTACTCTTCCTCTTCCTTCATATGTACTTTCCCCCCTCTCCTTCTCTCTCTCTCCCCCCTCTCTCTGTCTTTCTCTCTCTTTCACTATTATATAGTGTGGATGGATCAGTAGGTGTCTGTGGCTCATCCTACCTGAAAGAACTATTTTAGAAGAGAATCAAGGGCAGTAGGAAGCATTTGCCAATTCTCTTTTGCAGATCCTGGCACTCCATCTAACCCCATCTGTTTCCTACCCCTAATCCTGAGCAGTCTTTTTATTCCCAGAAAAGATTCCAATCCAAAGGAAAGAGGCTGTTTCCTGGCATTGACTTCTCTTTCTGCCTTCTCAGTTTCACCTTGCATGTTTTTTCAGACCATTAAAAAAGGAAATACTGTTAATAAAACTGACTTCTGTCTATTTCATTAGCAGGAGTATCTCCTGAGCAGAAAGCTATTTAAAGGAGATTGGGACTCAAACCATGGTTGTTTTCCTCCTATATGCATAGTTAACTCATAAGCCGCACAATATGAATTTAGAGAGGAAGGAGAATTTAACCTAGTCTTGCCCAAATACATGGGATTTTGAGAAGACCCGAAACTGCTATACACTTAGAAATTGCCAAGAGTCTTTGTACATGCACCTAATAAGTTTATAGAGTAAAGACACTCTTGCTTTCCCCTTTATGAATTTAGTGAATAGCACTAAGAAAAGAGTTGCTCTACTGTATAATTGTGCCAAATTTTCACAATTGCAATTCCACATTAGCATTACTTCATGTATAGATTGGGTAATTCACACTAGTCCAGAGAATGTGAATGGCATAGTCACATACAAGCAGCATTTCAGATTAATTGACTCACTCCAAAGTGGATGCCATTAAACAATCAGAAGGTTTGTTTTATCGGCCTCACAGAACATGAAGAGGGAGGGGATTTCCCAAAATACACACACACACAAAAGAGTTTTAAAGCACAGAGCACCTCCCTTGGAAAAGGTCTGTCACCTAGTCCATGCCCACCAAAAATGAAAGACTTTCAGCAAAACCTCTTGAGATGTTCTTACTAGATGTGCAGACTCAGCTGATTTTGGAAACCTCCGGGATAACTAGTGCAAAAATTATTAGAAGTGCTGCCCTACAATAGTAGGACCGATTCATCAGCAGCACATCTTGGACCATTACAGCTTCTGTAGAGAATAAGGAAGATGAGCTTGATGGAAATATGCAAGAACTGTGTTCTAAGCAAAAGGATCTGAAACATTTTAAAGTCGAGAACGGCCAGATAACATTCATAACCAGCTCAGATAGACACCTCCCTAATTTACTTAAGAAGACATACAGCACCATAAGATTTGAAAATTCTGTGATTATATCAATCTCAATAAAAGTAATTTTAGATATCCCGTGAAGCTAAATTGCTCCACCTAGTGGGACTAGCAGCTTCTCCAAATATTGCAAATATCCCAAATAAAGCATATTACAGTAATCCGGATATATTGAGATTAGGGCATCAGTTATCAGAATCTGGGTCCAGGTAGGCATTTGGCATACCCACCCTCCCCCAGCCACATCTTCACCTTTGTTTAGATAGTATCCAAGAATCCAAGAAAAGGTCCAGAAACCAACTTAGTGTGGAAGCTTAACCTCATTCAGAGTAACTACTGGGACTGATGTCCTCAGATGTTTATTGACATATAGCAATTAATCCTGGAGATAGGTATTTAGCTTAGGTTTATTTTACCTGAGCCTTCAGATATTGATTCAAGCTTTCCATAATATGCCTGACATGGCTTGGTGTGGTGAGGTACAGCTGAATATCTTCAGCATGCTTATAACAATTCACCCCAAATGACACATTCCTTTCCTTCTTGGCTTTGTGAATCTCTTAAAAAGTCACAAGAAAGAACACCAGTATCACTTGAGTTTTTCTTTAAATATTTTTGCTCTTATCTTGTCAAAAACTTTAATAAGGAACTTGATTATTATTAGAATTGCATTCGCTTTCCACTTATGCTCTCCTCCCCCCCCCATTCCAACGGATAGGCTTTTGGTCTGATTTGAGGGAACACTTCATTTGGCCTTACATTTAGACTAAGGCAGAAAGCTTTTTGTGTTCCAGACATTCATGAGAGGCAAACTATTAGCACTTAGAAACCTCTGGCACTAATTACTGCTGATTACTGCTAGTTTAGACAAAATATCCAGGTTAGTTGCATATTTTCATTCAGATAATCCTTCCCACCTCACTCTCAAGTTAATGTAGAGACAACAGAGAATGGCCTTGAAGGATAAAGGAAATCTCTATTTTCAAGTCAACAATCAGACAAGTGTGGTTTAAGTCCATTCCAAGAAATTAATCTGAGAAAATGCCTCAGATAAACCCATCCCTAATTCATATGGATATAAAATGAGAGAGGGGGAAGCACATTTAGACTTGCAAGATCCTGTTATTATAGCTGTTCTGATAAAAGTAATTTTTGACCAATATGGCATTGATTTCTTGATCTATCCTTTGGGGCTGGCACTTAATGCCTTTTGAATATCGAGGATCAAAATGTAAATGCAAACAAAGGAAATTTAAAATGTATTTTTAATAATTAAAACATTTTACTTTTTAAAATATTAATCTAATGATGATGGACATTTATGCCACATTAGCAAATGACAGCTGTCCATATAGAAATTCTGCAGGGATTAATTTTGACTTCCAGTATTTCAGAATCAATTTGGAAATCATTGCTGAAGGCTAGTGCTTCTAGAGCACAACCAGACAATTCCAGATGTTCCAAACCACTCTACTGTATTGTATTACTAAAGGAAGTGCTGTATAGATACTTTGCTAATTAAGTGAAGAGAGGCAGATTCAAAAACAATGAACAGAAAGTAGTGACAAGTTATATCATCTCAAGTTCCTAACATAGTATGAGATAAATGAGATTTTCTTGGTTCTTCAAGACAGCAACAAAACCTATCTGACAAGAGGCATTGCGTGGTGTTTCATTTTTTTCTCCTTGATGGCTTGTAAAAAAGAATAAAGAAATGAGAATATACTATGCCAGTGCTAAGTGGAAGAACTGTGTGTCATCTCCTCTATAACAGGTCAACTGAATGGAAGAAAAACATTGTTTGGAATATTTCTTATGCATTTTGTGTCCAGCATTTATATTCAGATTTCCTCTTCTTCCTTTCACAATTTTTTTCCAGTAACCACCTAAGGAATAACTTTGCTGGGCAGCTTACATGACCGTTTGGAAGCTACCACAAATTGGTATTTGCTTAAGCTGGCCTCTTTTTTATAGTCATATAATTCATCTTCTCTAACTGGCAATCCATAGTGATAGAGGCACTGTTATGGTTTAAAATTTACCTCTATCACTTTATCACATACTGTAGACAAATGTATATTACATAAATAAATTTCTCTTTTTACACATATAAATGTTACAGTTATGACATTTATGCATTATTGTCATTGAGGAAATCTCTATGGGTCAAAATTGGAGGAGCTTAAACCTTAAAAAAATAGATGATTTAATTCTACAGCAAAATATATTATATACATTTTCCGTTGTAGGTTATTACTAAAAGCTTTCAACAGGAGACTCAAAAATAAAAAGGTTAAGTAATGGCAAGTTCTGTATCATTATCCATTTTGCTCCTCTTTGAAATGTCCCACTATAACTGTTCCAGAAACAGTAACAGGCTCTCTTCAGTGAAGATCCATATCTAGAAGATCTTGAAACAGTTTGATCACATGTTGTGGTTGGTTGCAAGCATATTCCTCAAGTTTCAGCCCCATTTGTTTGTGCAAGCTTTTAGTGAGTTTAGAGACCACAGTTCTCACATTTCCACTCTTCCCAGGCAATACCCCATTACCAATCATGTTACTCAGGAAATACCAGAGAACAGGAAGGATGTGACGTTCCGTAACTTGAGGCTTTTGTGGATAAGCAACAGCCACAAGACCTGAAAGCAGAAGATTGCAGATCTTTAAGTAACAAGAACAGTGTTTCTCAACCTTGGCTGGTTCAGGAATTCTGAGAATTAAAGTCCATACTTTGTGGTCAAGATTGAAAAATAGTGAACTAGATAGTTGCTCATTTTTATGATCACACTCATAGCACTGAAATTTGAAAAACTGTTAAGTCAATATCCTTTTCAATGAACAACTGCTTATTTAGTTATGTTTGCAATTACAGTGGTAATTAAGTACTCATTGTTAATTGGTTCTGGGAAGTACAATAAATACCAAAAACAAAGAGTACCAAACAAATTTTTCCCATAACAAATAATGTAGTGAGTCACAAAGCAGCTGACATCAACAAATTCTAGCTTGTGCATTGAGTACCAAATAAACAAAGAGTACTGGGACAAAATGTTCACATCAAAATATATTGAGTACCAAATTTGATGAGTTTCAAAGCAGTTGCGTACGGAGGTACCACTGTATTCTCCTCATATAAGCGTTAATAGTATTGTACAATTAAATAGATAGCAATAACTGTTATTTATTTAAATTTTACCCTAGTATTTTCATATGTTGGTGTTAGGTAACATCAATACTTTTTATAAAAGGGAAATCTTTCAGGAGAATAATATGCTATCTGCATTAGTAATAGTGGCAGTTTTTTCCTCATTGCTGCATTTCGTCCATTCCTTGATTGCTTACACAGGCAGTCCTTGCCAACTGGACTGCATCAATAGACCATAGCAGTAGAGTCATAAAGTGGTTTGAAGGGAGAGAACGAACATGGGCTCATCTTTTCTAATAAAGTTATCAACAGCTGAAATAAGATTTATAATAGAACAAATAATCTTGCAGAATTGTTAAAATTCTTGAAATTAGTCCTCATGGAAATCTCCATGGAAACGTCTTTCAAGTAACAGAAAATAAGGTATGACTGTTTAAACAAACTCTTTAGTGCTTTATGCTAGTATAATGCCAGTATTGTTGTTATTTATTTGAAATTTTTGACTATTGACAGGGTGCCACAAACTGATATACAAATTATATACCACTGCAGCACATTGCCTGAGGAGCAGGCACTAGCTCCAAGTTAGAAAAAAAAATCAGGTGAAATGTAGCTAAATAGAAAACAGTGCTCCGTGGTGAGAAGGACACACATCACATCTGATCAGTGTCTGGTCTGTCCCACTTTGCCTCAAAAGCCACATGGAATAGTTATGTAGAATGAGACCATCCGAGAAAGACAATGGTCACAATTAATCAAGGAGGCTAACAACTTAGAACTAAGAAGAAATTTCCTGACAGTTACAACAATTAACTTGCCTCCAGAAGTTGTGAATGCTCCAACACTGGAAGTTTTTAAGAAGAGATTGGACAATCATTGGTCTGAAATGATATATCATTTCCTGCCTGATCAGGGTTGGACTAGAAGACTTCCAAGGTCCCTTCCAATTCTGTTATTCTATTGCATTCTATTCTAATCAAAGAGAGAAGCAACCTAGAAATAAGAAGACATTTCCTAACAGTGAAGACAATTAACCAGTGGACCGGCTTGCCTTCTGAAGTTTTTTTTGGAGGAGATCTAATATCAATAATATAGGAACACAGACTTCATGTATCACAGTCAGCTGCAGAGATCAGTGACAGAACACATACCTGTGACTACGAAAGAAATGTGCAAACTTAAAAGCTAGGAAAATAAAAATATTTTGGAAACAAAAACTGTACATAAATGGGATTTGAATCTAATTTTTTGTGAATTCCTTCTGTTATGTAACTATACATAAAATACATTTTGAATATTTAAAACTTGTTTTGGGGAGCTAAGTGGAATTCTGCACAACGGTACTTTGTATGTCAGCAGCAGCTTTGACTATTGATATTTGGCTATTCTTTTAAAACAAAAAAAAACTTAAATGAATTAAGAAAATAGTTTTGTTGTTAATCCTAAGATTACTTCACATGCTTTAGGAAAGTGGAACACCAGATTGTGTAAGTTAAAAACTTAAAACCAGCTTTTCCCAACCTGATACACTTGGCTTAGATTCCTGGATGGGTGGACTAGACTGAAATATACCTTCCATCTTTTGGGCAGAGGAAAGACACTGGCTAAATTTTGGGTGTTGTTTTGGTTGTGGCTTCTTACTGCAACTATGAGCCTAAAAGTGACTTTAAAGAAGTTGTTGTCACTTAGCCTACAATGTGAGATAACAATGACCTATCTTATATGGTTGAAACAATATACAGTATGTTAAATTCATTGTTCATTGTAAAACCTATAGAAATGCTAAATAATAATTTCTTCAACATCCTCTGGATATTTTTTTCCAAATTACCATAATTGTTGGCTGGGGATGATTGTGGCATAATGGTTCATGTTATGTCCCGAGCCTTGCAAACGGCTCGGGCGTTTGCAGGCAGTCCCGGGCAGGTGCAAAGCTGCCCGGGACCAGACAGGCTGTCGCCAGCGCCGTGCGCATGCGCGGGTGCTGGCGCGGGAAAAGTAACCCATTTACCCGGGAGTTGCCTATATAAGAGGCTGCGAGGCGTTTGGGCGAGGCTGAAGCCATCTTCCTGTAAGCTGAACGCTGAATAAAAGAAACTGAGAACTCCAGCTGCTTCTCGTGTCTGTTTTCCCGCCAAGGACGCAACACTGGCGACGAGGTGGGATGCCTTGCACTACCTGGAAAGGAAAAAGTGTAAGCTTACCCAAGGAGTCCTGAGCGGCGGAAGAGGAACGGTGTTGACTCAGCAGCTGCCCGCCAATCCAGTGCGCATTCGGGGGTAGGCTGGCTGATAGACCCGTCTCCTGAAGATCCGAAGATGGCGAAAATCGGAAGGCTTGCGGAATTCGACGTCTCACATCCAGAGCGGTGGGAGTCCTACGTATCCAGAATGGAGAACTACTTCAAGGCAAACCAAGTGAGGGAAGATAGCTTGAAGGCTGCCACCCTGCTTTGCGCTTGCGGCCAAGACGCCTTCGAAATCGCAGAAAACCTTGCAGCACCTGTTCCAGTAGAGTCTGTAAGCTACGCAGACCTGAAGAAGCTGCTGAAGGACCACTTCCACCCCAAGGTGTCCGTTATCTCATGGCGCCACACCTTCGAGCAGAGGGATCAACGGTCCGGGGAGTCAGCCAAGGAGTACATCGCCGCGTTACGGAAGGCCGCCAAGCCCTGCGAGTTCAAGGACCTCGAGGAACGACTGAGGGACCGATTCGTGTGCGGGTTGAGGCATCGAGAGCTACAACAGAGACTTTTCGCTAAGGAAGAATTATCCTTCCAAGACGCTTTAAGGGAAGCCACCGCGGAAGAAGCAGCAGGCGGCGCCGTCAAGAACATGCGGCCGATCAGAAGCAGTGCAGAGGGTGCGTCCGTGCACCAAGAAGACGTCCGACGAAACTCCGAGGAGGATCCGGACGAAGAAGTCGACCGTCTACACCCCGCGAAGGGAGAAAATCAGAAGGAAAGCTCTTCAGCTCCGCTCAAGTGCATCGGCTGTGGAGGTCGCCACAGGAGAACCGACTGCAAGTTCCGCTCCGCTACCTGCCGGGCATGCGGCAAACAAGGGCACATTGCAGCTGTGTGTCTGGGCCGACGAAAGGCACAACCTCAAGAAGAACGCCTGAAGGGTACCAGAGTCCCCAGCCAGAATAGGGTAGGTTTTTGCGCTTCGCGTAGAAACATTTGTAGGACAGGCACACACAAGCCCATGAAGAAAAAGCTGTCACTCAACGTGAAGCTACAAGGGGTTCCATTATCTATGGAACTAGACACAGGGTCTGCCCTTTCCATCATTTCATTGCATACATTTAGGAAGATTTGTTCCAGTAGTGGGACTAAGGCCAAGTTAAGGCCTTCTGATATTGTATTAACTGATTTTCAGAACTCAAGAGTGTGTGTTAAGGGGGAGGCCACCCTTAACGTGCAATACAAGAGTTTTGAAGGTCCACTAGACTTGTTAGTAGTAGGGGGTGAAAGAACGAGTCTCATAGGACTCGATTGGTTTGAGGCCCTGGGGATACACGTCACAGGACTCAACAGCTTACAAACACTCGACCTACAGGAAGTCTGCAAGGAATTTGCAGATGTTTTCAGCCCCCAGCTGGGCACATTCAAAGGACCACCTGTGTCCTTAAAGCTAGACCCCACTGTCACTCCCATTAGGATTAAAGCAAGAAGGGTCCCTTTTGCTTTAAAAAGTAAGATTGACACTGAATTAGACAAACTAATCCAACAAGGAATCCTAGAACCTGTTGATTCCAGCCCATGGGAGACCCCCATTGTCACGCCTCTAAAGGCAAATGGGGACATTCGCATTTGTGCTGATTACAAATGCACACTCAATAAGGCATTGCAGCAACATGCCTATCCTGTTCCTGTGGTCAGTCACATCCTGGCCTCTCTCAAGGGGGGGCGTGTTTTTGCAAAGCTTGACCTAGCTCAAGCATATCAACAGCTGCCTGTTGATGATGATGCTGCCATAGCTCAGACTATTGTGACCCACAGGGGAGCCTTTAAGGTAAAAAGGCTGCAGTTTGGAGTGAATGTCGCTCCTGGGATTTTCCAAAGCGTAATGGAAAACACACTACGAGGTATACCAGGGGTCTGCCCCTACTTTGACGATGTCTTGATTGCAGGAGACTCCACACACATTCTAGCTGAAAGGCTTAGGGCTGTCCTGTTAAGATTCAGGAAATCAGGCCTTAAGCTCAGAAAAGACAAATGCAAGATTGGGGTGCCTTCTACTGAATTTCTGGGATTCAAAATTGATGCTGCTGGGATTCATCCTGCTGAATCCAAACTAACTGCTATTTTAGAAGCACCCAGGCCAAAGTCTAAGGCCGAACTTCAGGCCTTCTTAGGCCTCCTGAATTTCTACAATTCTTTTCTTCCACATAAAGCTAGTGTAGCTGAGCCTCTTCACAGGCTACTAGACAAACAAGCTGTGTGGCTGTGGTCACAAGCACATGAGGCTTGCTTTAAAGAAGTCAAGGCCTTGCTCACTTCTAACAGTGTTCTTGCACATTTCAACGAGTCTCTTCCTGTGTGCATCGCTTGTGATGCATCCCCCTACGGGGTTGGAGCTGTCCTGAGTCACCTCAGGTCTGATGGAACTCAGGTTCCTATTGCATACTACTCCAGAACATTGTCTTCTGCCGAGCGCAACTACGCTCAGATAGACAGGGAGGCTCTGGCTGTTGTTGCTGGAATTAAAAAATTCCACGATTTTCTATATGGCAGGCATTTCACGGTCTTCACTGACCATAAGCCTCTGCTGGGACTGTTTACCACACGTAAGCAGACTCCCCACATCATTTCCCCTAGAATGCTTAGGTGGTCTATTTTCTTGTCTGCATATGATTTTTCATTACTCCACAAGCCTGGGAAAGAAATGGGCCATGCTGATGGCCTCAGTAGGTTGCCTCTGCCAGTAGTAGAAGCTGACCCCGCGCCAGCTGTCAACATTCTATCAATCCAAGCCTTGCCCGAGCTTCCTCTTAGTGCCAGGGATGTTACCGCTGAAACAGGTACAGATCACACACTTTCACGTGTCCGCTCCTGGGTCCTGTCCGGGTGGCCTGAGCACTGCCCTAGTCCTGAGTTTCAGAGTTTCTGGTCCAAAAGGAACGAATTGTCCCTTTCTCAGGGTTGTTTGCTTTGGGGAAACAGAGTTGTCATTCCCACCTCAATGAGGACTAGGGTCTTAGAATCCCTCCACGAGTGTCATCCTGGCATTGTTCGTATGAAGGCTCTTGCACGCAGCCACTTGTGGTGGCCTGCTTTAGATAAAGATATTGAGGCTAAGGTACACGCATGCCACCTGTGCCAACGATCTCGCCCAGAGATGCCCCAAGCTCCTGTGCATAAATGGGAGGAAACACAGTCCCCATGGTCTAGGGTGCACATTGACTACGCTGGGCCCTTTCAGGGCCAGTTCTTCTTGGTCCTTGTTGACAGCCATTCAAAATGGCTTGAGGTTGTGCCTGTCTCATCCACCACCACTGCAAAGACTATTCAGGTACTGAGGGGGATTTTTGCTGCACACGGGCTGCCAGATGTCATTGTGTCCGACAACGGCCCTCAATTCACCTCCTCCGAATTCCAAGCTTTCTTACAGGCAAACCTGATTCGTCATGCCACGTCTGCGCCTTTTCACCCGTCCACCAACGGTATGGCTGAACGCATGGTGCGCATCGCAAAGGACGCCTTGAAGAGACTCACCTACGGGGACTGGCATCACAGGTTGGCTGACTTTCTCCTTTCTTATCGCACCACACCGTCCACTTCTACAGGGAGAAGTCCAGCTGAACTTCGTTGGGGGCGCCAACTTACTACTAGACTTGACCGGTTGCATCCGGACAGACTGCCTTCATCTACCTCACATCCTAGGGCACCTAGACAACTACTTGTGGGTGCCCCGGTTTGGGCTCGCAATTACGGGCCTGGTCATACATGGGTCCCCGCTTCTGTGTCCAGGATCACAGGTCCTCTCTCCTACGAGGTTGCCCTGGACAACGGTCGTGTCCTGCGTCGGCACATCGACCAACTCCGCTCTAGGCGGGACTTTTCTGCTGAACTCCTGGGTCTTTTCCAGGGGGGGAGGGGGACCCTTTGGAGCAAAGGGAAGGGCAAGAGCTACTGCCCATCGCCACTGAGGGAGCCACAAACGGCTCGTCCCAAGGTTCTGCAATTGCTCCGAAAAGGAAGTCTTGGAGCTTACCCACACAACAGGCACTCACGCCTACTCCAGCCAGGGAGTTACCCCGGGGGCATACTCACTTTCCACACACAGCACACAGCACTCCAGCAACGGAGGATACCCGGGGGCATCCCAACAAATCATTCCCCGCAAGAGAGCTGGCACACAATGCCCAAGGTTGGCCTGACCTTACCCCAAATCCTACAGGGGGTCAAACATACACAGAGCTAGTCGAGGAACCAAGTCCCGACTACAACACCCCTAGCACAAATCAGGGGACACCTGAGTTTTGGGAGAGTACAGAAACCCACACGAGCCCAAACACAGAATGGGGTTCAGGGAATAGACAGCCTCCTGACAGGTCTTGGACTGACCTAGGGGGTTCTACAGAGACGCCCAGCAGTGGCTATCACTTCAAGGGGCCTGAGGGTCTACAGCTAGGTAGGACAACCAGGTCACAAAGCAACAGAAGCCCTGGCCTGACGAGCCCGGTGGGCAAGCAAGCAGGCCAGGCATCGGGGCACAGTCCTTGGAAGACACCAGGGCACAGTAGAGAGAACAGGCTCATGCCTCCCTCCAGTCAGGGGACTTATGCCAGTAACCCAGAGCTAAGAAGGTCACAGAGAGCAAAGAAATCTCCTAAGTACCTAGAAGATTACATAACATTGTTGGCAAGACAGAAGCCAGTAAACAGTGGGAACACTGGGGAGCAAATTGTCGTGTAAAATAAATGTTGTATGTTGATAGTAGTTTTAGCCCGGGGGAAAGGGGTGTTATGTCCCGAGCCTTGCAAACGGCTCGGGCGTTTGCAGGCAGTCCCGGGCAGGTGCAAAGCTGCCCGGGACCAGACAGGCTGTCGCCAGCGCCGTGCGCATGCGCGGGTGCTGGCGCGGGAAAAGTAACCCATTTACCCGGGAGTTGCCTATATAAGAGGCTGTGAGGCGTTTGGGCTGAGCTGAAGCCATCTTCCTGTAAGCTGAACGCTGAATAAAAGAACCTGAGAACTCCAGCTGCTTCTCGTGTCTGTTTTCCCGCCAAGGACGCAACAGTTCATATATGTTTTCAAGGAATATAATGATTCATCATTCATTCAAATAGCTGGGAGGACAGTATTAAAGCACTGTGTATTCAAAAGTTAAACTGTGAAAACATAGCTACTGATTAATCCAAAGGAAAAAAGTAGATACATATAGATTTTAAAAAGGTTATTTTCATCCAAAACATTTCATAAGCTGTAAAAAAAAATACCAGAAATTGAGAAAGTATACATCAATAATAAGTCTGTGCTGTCATTGTTGTGCCACTTCATTTATACTGCATTAAACTGGGGATTAGAGGACTAGGGTAAATACTGTTTTATTATAAAGCCATTTGGTAATTTTACTAAATGGAAGTTCTGCTGATCTTAAATTATCATTATTGCAGTTTTGTGGCTTCAGTACTTTTTTCCCCCTACAGGAAAAATTATAGCTCTTGAATGCTGCTTGTTTGTAGTGATTGATTTACAGCCTTGTAGATGGCTTGGTTATCTATTTCAAATAGACACTTATTTAAAAAGTCTGTATCAAATTTCTAAGCTACAAAGCTAAGCTAAAGGGTACTCTAAGAGTCAAACACCAGTGATGCCAGTGACCTTTTAGTGATATCTGATGAGGATATCTAGAATCCGGTTACATCTCAGTGGCCAATGAAGAACGATCATGATAAGCTTTAGGATGCATATATTGAAGGAACTAATTTCAATTTTGGGGTTCTGATATAAGAAATTTATGATTTAACTTCAGCTAAATACTAAACCTCAGCTAAATACACCTGTGGATTGGACCCCTTGCAAACTTTTGGTTCTGTTGTCCAATCGATTAAAAAGATCGTAGCAATTGGTTTGGGGCAGGGGCAAGATACCAATTTTCAGAAATAATTCCTGAGTCATCTGAATTCCTGGAAAGGACATAACAACTTTGGTCCAAGAAACCATGGTTTATTTTACTGAGAATGTTCTATCCACATCATCTCTTCTTCCTCTCATTCCTTGTTAGGAAAAAAATTCTTAAATCATGGCTGTATGTCTAAGCTTTTATATTATATTTTAATTTAGACTTCTTGTCAAAGCTTGTATCAATTTCTTTGTTCAGTGGTTTCTTCAAACTGTTATATTAAAATTCAAAGAATAAAGGGGAAAGAAAATGCTAGTAGAAACCACACCTACTTATTGTTTTGTATCTAAAATGCAAATTAAGTGGAATATTTGATTTTATCCAATATTCATAAAACTGACACAGAAAATTGCAGCAAAACAATTTTGTATCTTTATTTGGAAATAAACTCAGCTGAATACCCTGAACAAATGGAATGGGACAACATTTAAATCTCTGTGGAGTAAATCATATATATGTTTTTGCAAGATATTCTTCTCTATTTTGGAGACATGAGCCCAACTGATTCAACTTATTTTGATACCAATCTTTTCAAAGTGACTGTCCTGCCAATATGTTGCTAGAAACAACACCTCTAAGACTGAGACATGTCTGTGCTAATAAGCCAGAGATCCTCCAGAGAAAGTGCTGGCCTATGAGAAATAAGCAGTCATTTCTCATTTCAAGTTTGAAAAGTTGCAAATAGAAATATGCTGGCTTGAACTATGAATAAAGGTACTCTTTGTCTCCTACTGTTATCAGAAATATAGTTCAGAAAAAGCTCCACACCAAACATAGTCTTTTCTGACCTGCCAGATATTCCGTGATGTCCTGCAGAGCTCGGCCAGTGAGAAAACGCACTCTGCTGGCAAATATTTGAAGCAGCAATAGGTTATCTGAAAGGAACAAACAGATTGTTTGGAGCAAACTATTATGGACCACTGAAGAATGAATGTGGAGGTTACACAAGTTACAACATAATAAAGAACACTTTCATGGGTTTTTTTTTTTTGTGCTTTAATTGAGAAGAAATTGTTTTTGCAAATTTAGATTTGTTCCTACAAGCTACTATCCTTCATAAACCTATGCTAATCTTCCCCAATTTGTATTTTTCCAATGTGTTGGGACCTCAATAACCAGAATCCCCAGTAACTAATTCAATTGAATTGAAGGCTTGGAGAAGTATTGAGCTTGAAGGAATATGACTAATGTATGAACATTCTGCTCTGATACTCTGTGAAATCAACTTACAAGCAGAAATTACAAAAAAAAAAATTATTATAGCATTGAAGTTTTTGCTTGCAAATAATCAAACTAGGCTTCAATGGATCCTACTTGGCCAGACATTCTTCTCCCAACGCATTCAAATGTAATCAATGTTCCTTGCAATAATCCATTTCACACTCTTAAAGATGCAAGCTATTTTAAATAATGATATTTTAAAAGCATAGTGAAGAAACATTGTTTGTTCAGTATACCTTTACGAACAAACTATTTTATTGAACAATGTACTAATATACTCAAATCAGCATCTACAACTCTTTAAGATGGAGGATTATCTTTTTGTTAAAATTCTTTAAGCGATTATGCAAGTGTTTGATGCAAAAGTTGTATGACCTATGGTTCTTCAATGCCACTTTATAAAGAGATATGAAGTAGCATTGGTGGATTGCCTTAGGACTATGGAATTCAACCAATAACAACCAATACCATTAGAAGTCATTTTGGGGGGATTGTAAAGCATTTGTATGTTTGCTGGCTTTTGACAACCCAGGATCAGGCATTTAACAATGATCCAGGATTCAGCCTTCAGTGAATAGATAACATGCCCGAATGATTTTAAATGGAATCTATTCCAAGCCATTATGATGGAGGGAAATGGTACAGCAAATAAATACACATTAATTAAATGTGACAAGTGTTGATGGGTTGGCAGATGATTTTTTTTAAAAAAGATTATTTTCCTAATTTGTTCCTTTCCAGGTTATGCAGCCAAGAAGAATCAAAGAATCAAAGAGAACAGAATAGCAAGGAGCAAAAAAATTGTGCTCTGATCAATGCCATCCATTGTGATCGTGATGAGGAAGAGGATGATGTTCTGAACCAGGCAATTCTGTCCTTATAGTGATTAATGACAGGTACCACCATTTGCTGCAGTAGGAAGAACAATTGCTTTGAAGTGCTAATATCAAATGTGGAGAGTGGGTGTTAATTATTGATGATCATTGCCCCCTTATTACTATCTTTAAAGATTTTAGTTCACTTGTAAGACTGACTTTCAAAATTCATTCTAAAGTAAAGGATGGTACATTTCTCTCTCTCTCTCTCTCCCTCCCTCTCTCTCTCTCTCTCTCTCTCTTGTCTTCCAGAAAGATGTGCTGTACATTTCAAAAATATGAGAATCATGAAAGCCCCAATAAGCTATTGGTAGGAGATTAATTTAGAGCTGCTTTCGCAGAAGATCAAGAAATGGGAAGATGTAATGTTTGACAGCAATGGGTTGGTTTTTTTTTAATCTTCTACAGCCAGCCTTCACAAAGTGGGGAATCAGGTACCAGATGAAAAAACTCAAATTCTGAAATACAGTCAGAGAACACTTCCTTTTGAATGAGTTTTGTTCTTTCATCCATGCAAACAGGGCCTTTCTACAAATGTAAATTTAATTGTATATCTTAAATGTATTGCTGATGTCGATGATTATATTAAGCTATTTTTATTGCTGCTCTCTCTCCATCTGATATTTTTATTCAAATAGACTTTTCATAAAATCACTATAAGGAAGGTTTCTATATGCTTTATATGTTACTGGATGGGAAATAGGTCCGAGAAAGAAATGAATAAATAAAGTAATGAAAATCAAAAGGAAAGGAAAGGAAAAATATCTTAGCAAATATCCATAACATATTATTATAATCAGTTAACCACATTTATGAAGCCAGTTATTTTTTAAAGAATTTTATTAAATTTCAAAAATTAAAAAAAGAGAAGAACTCTTATTATTAAGAATTAAGAACTCATTATATTTTTCAAATCCCAAAAATTTCTGTCCAGTAACATTTAGAATCTGTGATTTCCAAGGACATATGAGCCCCATACTTATAAATGACAATCATACATTCCCTGAAAGATAAAGAAATATATACACATACTGTCCTCTTGTGGTCAAAGCTCCTAAAGGATCCCTAGATAATGTAAGTGGTTCCCAGTCCAGTCAAGGAAGGAAAATAATGTTAATCCAAACTCAGAATTTACACAAAGAACTATAATTTCCAGAATGTCAATTATCCTGATCCATAGACATATTGGTGGACATTTTTGGAATTAATTGCAGTATCAGGGTTATTTTTCTCAGAAGTAATCCACTGGGGTCCAGTGTAAAAGAAGCAACGAGTTTAGATAAAAGGAGAATACTCTCTGTGCATGCTCAAGCCTCTAGCCAAGTATAGGCAACTTGTGTACATGTTGCTGAACTACAAGTAATAGCTTCTCCCAGCATTGATTGTGCTTCCTATAGAAGCTGGGATCTGTAGTTCAACAATATTTACAATGATACATATTAGCTATCCCTGCGAATTAAAACACAGTAAAATTAATTTCTGATTCTAAATTCAGTGCTCATGTTATTCAATATAGGCAGAAATATGACATGGTTTGGATATAAATAAATCTACTAGGACCTCTGTATGTCAGTACTAACTTCAGTTGTGATTCATGAAATCCTATAATATGTCTGGCCTATTCATCCAGTATAGCATTTTCATATTGATATAAATCTATGTGGTATGAAATTAACAGCAGTCCTTGGTTTTGTAGTTATTGGCAATTGCAATTTCTGCCTTTGGAGAACAATGTTTGAAAGAAGCCGTCATTTAGACATGGATTTATGCTTGTTTGTTCTTCAGAAATGAGCTCAATAAACTATAAATTTCCTTCTAAGAAGAGTACGCATTGGAGATATTTATGAATTAGAGATAGGAGAATCAGCTGGATGAAGCTCATAACTTAGGACTTCTATAAAGCCAGCACAGAAAAAGCTTATTTGGGAGATTGTCCTCAAATCAAGAGCAAAAATAACTCATGGGCTATATTCAAACAACGCACATAACCTTGTCCCTGAAATTTCTAGATTTGCACGATACACGGAACCATACACTAACCAGAAAAAAATGTCTTCATACAATACAGTAAGCAATGAAAAAGCAAACCAGGGTTCAAACTTACCAAGCTTTATATATATATGACAATTTATAAGGCTGCCTAGTCAAGATGTGACTATGAGAAGATAACTATCAATCAGACATCCACACTCACAGTCTGCTTTCTTTAAAATTCTGTAAGTCTTTTTATCTGATGGGCTGAAAGATAGGATATAACAGCAAACACAAAAATAGCCATATCTGGCAAGTAGATAACCATTACCTAAATAAGTAATCATTATGTCCAGAACCTTTATTGCCGCACTGTAAATCCCAGAATTCTTTGAGTTTAAGTTGTCCATCACTATAGTCACCACGGAGAGCAGGACTGGATTAAAGCCATTCTTAAGCACTGGAATCATGGTGACAACTGATTCTAATGCATACTGATTCACTTTCTTGTTGGAATCCTGAAGCCTCAGTGTAAAAGTATCAAAAATCTGTTAACATTAAGAAAATAAGCAAGTAAATACTACCATAAATATCAAACACAGAAAATGTGGGAATTTGTCCAACAAGTTATGAGCCAGTATATGAATTGCTTTAATATATTTTGCCAGATAAATATCTCTTGCATTCTCCCTCATATATCAAGTGTTAGTAGAGGTCATTTGCAACAAATCAAACCACCCTCCAATTCATTCACCAAGGCTCACATTTAACGTAAGATCACAGATGTGAAAGTAGAACTGTTAATGCTTAAGGCATAATAGGATAACTTGGTCATTAAGGATGTTACATGGTATGAAAGAAAGCTCCCTTTCTAAGTTGTCTACCTTCAAGGTGGGAAACAAGAGGTAGAGGAAATATTCTAATGTTCCTATGGGAAGCAGTTTTACATTGACGAACTAATAGTATCAGTCTCTCCATGAGAGGAAAGCAGAACTGTTTCTACTCCTGATGTTTTAATAGTTAACAAGAAAAAGCAGAACTGGATCTCCAACAAGGAGAGTCCATGTGCCCCAACTATTATAAAGAATTCCTCATAAAAAAATAATAAATTGAAGAAAAGTTAAAAAAAAAGAGTAAAATTAATTCATCGGGCTGGATGCTAGGATGGTATTGCCCTTGCAACTTTAATAAATATTTATGTTTTAATTAGGGTTACTGGTATTCATAATGGATACCTGCACAATATTTGATGAGACAAAGTGTGGGTTCTTCTTGCAATGGTCCATTAGTAAGGCTATTCCATCTATTCGTATCTGAAATTCCTTGGCTCCAAGCTGTTTGTTCAATTCCTTCAGCTGCTCCATTATTTCTATGCTGCGAAGTGAGGAACCACGAGCTGCAGGTTGTGAGAAATTAAGAACATCCATGGTAGACCTGGAATTGAAAAGTGAACAGCTTTTCACCATATTTCTGAAACATATGATATTACAGTAAATAATTTTATCAAGCCCTGAAAGGAAACACCATTTTTGGTGTGCCAAATATACCATGCAAGTTAAACAATGTCCACTTAACCTTCATAAGTCATTCCAGATGCAAGATGGAAGACTCTGAATCAACTTCAGAATAGTACGGTAAATTAGGAAAAGCTGGAGATGAGATTATTTAAATTATTTCTTTGAGTTTACAAATGTATAACCACTAATTTCTCAGTGATTCTGAGCAGCATATAAAAGATCAAGCTAATTATGGTATTAAAAACTATATATGCAGTTAAAAACAAGGCAATATATTAGTAACATTAAAAAAAACCTCTAAACACTCTAAATTGGCAAATGGTGGCTTGTTAATGGGATCTGCAAAAGTCCTGAGGGTGTAGGGCAGATTATAGAAAAGCAAGCAGTGCTATAAGTTTCATGGACTTAAACTTGTGTAAGATTTTCCACAACAAGGTAAGTGTTTTAATTAGTCTTAGAAATAAACTGACATGAAGAGCAGGTATTTCAATATAGGGATGCTTTTTGAAAAACTTCAATTTGCCCACTATACTCAGGGCTAATTGCAATTTCCAAAATGCCCCACAAAAATGCATTACCCTAAATCAAATTTGAGATCATTATGTAACTGATGCAAATCATTCTTCCACTGGTAGGGACACAACTGGTTTATCAACCAAAGCTGATAAAAGGATACTTTTGGCACAGATCTTCTGTGTTTCCAGTGCGCACACTAGATTCAGGAGGACTTTAAATTGTGAACTTGTTTCATCCAAAACAAGCATATCATATGAATCCTAAAGACTGTCCCATAGAAATGACAGCAACTCCATCTTGAATGAATTCAGCTTAGTTTTATTCTTTCACATTCAGTCCCTTACAGGTTCTTGAGAAGTCAGCCCTGAATTTCTAGGAAAGGTCAAGTACAGATCAATATCATCAGCATAGTTCTGATAAAAGTTTCCAAACCTACATATGATCTTACCCAAGGGTTTCACAAACAATAATAAATAAATATTCGTAACAGGAATCTATAGGATAATTCCAAAAGATGGAACTGATGTTTGCCTATGCCATTTTCAAAAGCCACCAACAGTGCCAAGAGTGGAATCTCCATAAATTGATGTCTCCAACTTTCTGGCTTGAAAAAGATAATTGTACAAACAGGTAATGGGAGAGATCCAGAAATATTGATGGGGACTCACTTCCCGTCTCTCACTTTGCACAGATCTTTTATCAAAGTGACCAAAGATATCTGTATGCCAAATCCAGGACTTAATTTGGATTGAAAAGGTCTGGATAAACTCTTTTCTCTCTCAGTTTTTACACTGCCACAGCCTTCTCCTTCAGCTCAGTTAAACATGGAATATTGAACAATGACCTGTGACTGCTGCAATAGGTTGAAGAAGCTTCTTAAATAAAGATCTCACCATCAATATCTTTAAGCTGGTAAGGAATTCTGTCACCTATACTGAGGTGTTAACAATCTCAAAAATCTTTGATAGGATGGGATTTTTGTAAGCCATGGCCAAATAATGGCCTGGATATATTCAAAGTCTAGAGATGTTCCAATCTAATCTGATTTCTGCCTTGCAGAGGGGAACTTGCTGAAACAGCTCAATCTTCACTACAGTGTGACCAATCAAGGGCAAGAGTATATCCAGTCATATCTCCTTCAAACATATCTGTTTGTCCCCTTAACTTAATATAGGATCAGGCATGCTATTCTTTTTGTCAGAGAACAAAATAGCATTACAAAGTTGTAGATGCTCAGCCTGAGTTCTCAGATAAACTTGGTGAATATAAAAGCTGGAGATAGGAATTATTATGACTTAATGGATTCTACCTCTCCACACAGGACTGTCTCTTATCTGTCCATTATCTGTTCCTTTTCCCATACTTTTTTTAATGAAGTATCCTTTTACCTTTCCGGAAGAGGCTAAAGAACTCATATCCACTCATAACAACAATAAGAGTGTGAATTATACAAAGGAAATGGAGGTAAAAAGAAAGGGAGTCCACAGAGAAAAAGGACAAGCTGTAAATTTGAACAGTAAGTCTGGAGAACAGAGAAAAAAAGAAAACTCTACTCTTGGTTGTGCAAATGATTTCAAATGATTAAAAACACAGAATCTAAAAAGTTTCCAAAATTCTTCCTCAGTTATGAATTAGCAATTTCCCTCTCTCTCTTTCTGTAAAACATATCCTGCTTTTCTTTATTCCTTGCTGCTCTGTTATTGCTACTAGTCCTGCTAATTGCTAAAATTTGTAATTTCAGGCCCCAGGCAATGCCATCCAGAGGATGTTGCTCACTCAGTGCCAAGAGAGATGGCTTCCACCAGGTGTGCAGCTCTGCAGCAAAGGGCAAGCAGGCAGTGTGTATTTCCAAAACATTCTCCCCAAGCCATCAAGCTCTCTCTGCAGCTAGAGTGGGAAGACAAATAGTAAATTCAGCTGGCAATTTGCTTCTCTGAGATGGCAGACTTTCAAGAAAACTTATACGCATTCTAGAGAAAAGAGAAGAGGATTAGCACCCTATATACAATAAGTCTGGGTGCTTATCAAGGGGCAGCAAAGAGTCACAGTCAAATAAAGCTTCACTGACATCTAAAGGCTACTTGAAGGTATGCTGTCTGGATGCAGAAGCTCTGTTCTAGGGATCTCCAAACTTGGTAACTTTAAAACTTGTGGGCTTCAGCTCCCAGAATTCTTTGTCCAGGCACGTTTAAATCTTAAAGTTGCCAAGTTCGAAGAGCCCTGTTCTAGAGGGCAGACAAAAGTTTTCACATATCAGTCTTCTTTCCTAAATTAAGGGTTTTCAGCAACGGCATAAACTATGAGGAAAACATCAAGCATCTCAAGCAAATGAATTGTGCTTAAAACAATAGCAAAGGAAAGGCTATGGAAAAGGAACAAGCTTTTCTCTTGACTCTGGTCTCTCAATATGCATGTAGAATATAACAGCACCTGAGGTTTTTTTTAAAAAAAAAAAATACAGTATGTCTCCCAGTGACATGCTCTGTGTTTTTCCAAAATCCAGCTAATCATAGAAGCAAATGATGCTTCCCTCCATACCCTTCGCCCGAAGACAGGCTGTCCAGTGAGATTGTCAAACTGCCATTCTTTGATCCTCGGTAACTTTTGGCAGAAGTTGCTTGGGAGGCTGAATCTTCTGTCCCCTATACAGATAAAGTCACACAGTCATTTAAACATTCTGGTCAATTACAAATACCCACCTTTTCTTGCCAACTGATTTATACTTCATGTTAAACCATTTGGCTGATTTGGACTAAGAATGTTATACAAAACCAGTCATTGTGGCTTGGAAACCATGGTGAATGTATTAAGCTGTGTGAACTCTGCCAGTTGGGGTGTATTTAATAAAGCAGACTCAAGGAAATAATGTTTTTACTGCTATAAGTGAATGCTAGTGGTATATTAGTTTTTTATGTCATTTCTGAAACATACTCAATTGTTCACTCAATGTCCATGTACAGTATTAGATTTTCTGATTCCCTTTTTAATTTACGCATTTCCAAGGTTGTCCCTGGGCTTCCATACTTACTTTTTGTTTAATTGCAGCCATGACATCCCGTAGGTCATGTGATGGTACATTTTGTTTCAAATACCCATCAAATTTTGAATGACACATAAGCATGTTCAGCATCTTCCGGCCATAACACCTAATGGAGTAAAAGGAAATCTTATTAAGATCACTGGAGAATAAAATTCCACCTTCATCGAGGGACAGCACTTCTTGCTGTTACCTTGTGTCTTGATGGCAGTCCTGAGCCATTTTCACTAATGTCTGCACTAATAACTCGGTACTCTCCCGATTGCCCGAGAGCAGTTTCTCAGCCCCAATTTGTTCCATGACTGTCAGTAAGTGTCCAGCAGCACATTTTCGAATGAGGGGGTTTCGGTGGCTGCAACAAAATGATCACAGCTGTCAGAAACAGGGCACATTTTGTGTCCATGCCAAAGTAGAAACCTGCCAAGGTGTGGGCTGATAGCAACAGTTTTTCTAGCTCACCTTGATCAACAAGACCTACTTCATTTATCCAACAGCATCTTGAGTATGAATAGGAAAATACTTCCCCAAAGGAAAGGAGACACAGTCCATCATGATAGAAAAGGAAATTTCCAGCTTAATTTGCAGGGTTGCATAGTGTTCTTTCTGATTTTTCTCTGCTACTTCATTTCATGGACAAATGGAATAAGCATAGTACCAAAGAACTGAATGCTAAGCCAAATTTCTGGTTTCCACTTGTAGGTTCATACAGAAAAATTCGGGCCATCATTTTGCAGGGATAGGGAAAATTTTGCATCCTAAGTGTTGCTAAACTATAACACTCAGTGTCTCCCTTCATCACATTCAATAGTGAGAAATGCTAGGAGCTATAGTCAGCTACATCTGAAGGGTTATACATTTCCCAAATTACTCTAATAATTCAGAGGTATGAAATTATCTCCTCCAGCAATATTATTTTTTGTAAATGCTAGCACTTATTGCTCATGCCCACAGACCAGCAAGGATTGAGACTGCAGATTCAAAGGCATTGTACATACTTCACTCCATTGGCCATGAGGGCTGTCATTGCTCGCGATGGAGTCACACTCTGTGCCATGATTCCCAGGGACTGGTCAGCTGCTTTCTGGATGAATTCACTAGTATCACCTGCTTTCTGCAGCAGGACTCGAGAAATCTCCTCAATCTCTTGATCCATGTGCTTCTTCATAGCTTTGAACAATTCAGCAAGTGTCTCAATAGCAAACCTAGATACTTTAGATCGTAAGTTGCTAACCTGATAAAAGAAAGTCATATGATATTATTTACTTTTGCAAATGGTAAAGAACAACAGCCAGAGAATCAATACAGGGCTATTTTCTTATCCAAATAAAGACTCCAAAATTCAGCAATATGCAAAATCCATGGATTATATATCTAAAACTAGTATCTCTTATTTTATTTGCTTATTAAATTTTTATCCCACTTTTGTTACTTTATAAGTAACTCAAGGCAGCAAAAATACATGGTACTTTTTCCTTGTATTTCTCCCATAACAATAACTCTGAGAGGTGAAAGTGGGCTGAGAAAGAGTGACTGACTCAAGTTCACCTAGCTGGCTACAGATAAGGCTATAAATCACAATCTCCTGGTTTCTAGGCCAGCACCATAACCACTACACCAAACTGGCTCTTACTTTTCTCCTACTTCTATATCTTACTTCTACATACAGAAATTTATTGCACAAATTTTTACAGTATATTTTCCAAGTTCCATGTGAATGTGTACCAAGGGATTATATGCACTTGCCCCAAAAGCTATTATAAGCTCCCAGGTCTACAGTATTCCTTGATAGAAGAAATAGACACCTTTTATTGCTATATTCCATCTGACAACCAGATCTTGCCTTGCCTTTGTCTTGACTAACACTTTTTAAACTCCTGAATAGAGTCTGAATTTATTACAATTTTAGAAAAAAAATATGCTAATGGTTTCCCAATATTTGTCTGGAGAGGAAGCATAATGGCCTTTGAAAACTCTGCTGATAGCAGCCTATCAGCTGTGCAAACAATGAACAAGTGTGGAGTTGGCTTGTGACATTGTTTACCTCTTGCTTTTTATTAGAAGGGTTTAAAATGAGAGCAATAAAACCTCACTATCAAGTGGTCAAATACAGTAAACAGAAAGTCCATGAAATTAACTCCTAGGAATGCAAGAACTAGCTAGCTCTCAACATACAATATGAGTTTTATAAGAAGGCCAAACAGTATTTAGGTTTGGGGAAATGGAAAATGCAAGTACTGAATGGGTTTATGTAATTTAGCTATTATTTCCCTTTTCCTTGGTAAAACGATAAAAATTAGTGAAATTCCATTGGTATAATAGAGAGAATTAAGACATTTGTAGTTAAGCACAGTAGTCTTTGCTTTAGAAGGCCTGGAAATCTATGACTATATCCAAAAATTTAATTCATTCATTCATTCATTCATTCAGTTTAGAGGCTGCCCAATTCTAAACTGCTCTGGGTGGCAACAACAAAGAAACAACCACCATTCTATACTAAGATCAGAGAGGAAAATCATGATTTTAATGACTTTCTAAATACCATTAGGGTGGGAGCCATATGGATCTCCAGAGAGATGCTATTCAAAGCGCAGCTGCTGAGACAGAAAAGGCATCTTCCTAGATCCTGAGAGATGGCATTGTTTAATCAAATTCATTAACGTCTTAATACTAAGTTCATATATCACTCTAAGCATGAGCTTCTACCAGGGGAGGGGACAAATAATATAACTTGCATCACAACATTGCTTTGCAAACTATATTATTTAAATATCCTGGCAATATCTGGATGTAAATATGAAAAACCAGGCTTTACATCATGATGGCCCAAGACATATCATTTTCATAGCACTGTAGCATGCTATGATTCCAAGCAAAAAACCAAATAAATTCCATTATCCTTCAGCATTGTGCACAAGCCAAGTTTATGAAGGAATGGTTTGATGGTAACCTTGGATAACTTTCAGTAGCAAGGCATTTGACAAGACAACATTTGAGAAGTTTCCACTACTTTTGATCAAACTTTAATTTTGATACACAATAGATTAGTTACCAGAGCATACATGCAGAATGTAACTATACAACATGACATAAATATACAGTATATGTAAGAATAGATTTATTTAATGCATAAGAATTTATGATTTCACATATTTGATTATAAATGTACAAGTGAATATAAAATTTGCTCCTCGTTCAGTTTCAAATACACATAAGCGGAAGAATTCTCCTTCTCCTAAGTATTGTTTTATATCTTTTATAGTCAACATGAATGGTCCAGACATTTAGATTCTTACATTTTATTTATTATTTATTTTGGTACCTTCAAGTCAGGGCAACTGCTTGGACAAGTCCCTGCACTTATCTTGGCAATATTTTCAGAAGGAGTTTGCCCTTGCATCCTTCCTAAGGCTAAGAGAGAGCCTTAAGGTCCTCCAGCTGGCTTCATATTTAAACAGGACTATAACTCACAGTTGCCTTCTAGCCTGGCATGGCCACCAAAAACTGTACCTCTGAGTTCCAGCCCCTGTCACTTTGCAATGGTAGAGGCAGAGCCCTGGGATCTTCTGCTGGAAACCATGGATTTTCCACATTTCATTCTGCTCCATTCTCTCCCTCTTTTGCTCCCCTATCCTTCTCCTCATCAGAATAAATTATACATTCTCTTAAAGCGTATTTTTCTAAACCAATGCAGATATGAGCACATGTGATTACTTTGTATACCTTGTTTTTCTGTAATTTCATTCCCACCCTGAAGATAATAAAAGGTTTATTAACTTTTTTTCTTAGAATAAATAAATATAAATAGCACACATTGCGCAGACACACAGGCACAAAAGTATAAAAGCTGCTTGGAGACATACTGACTAAATGGAAACAGATTGGAAAGCATCAGGTAATCCACCAAGAGAAGATTGATAGGACATATGTTAAATATTCGTTTCCCACCTCCTTTGTAGCTGCCAAGGAAACATCATGAAGTCTACCCTGCAGAACTTCTGAATGGCAGGTAGCCAAGCATATGATGTTGAGGAGTCCTTTCTCCTTCAGGTGCCTGAGAGGCAGTTATCAGAAAGATGGAAAAAAAGAAAAAAAGAGGAGAGAAACCATTAGTCTCACCAGGCATTTTGCAGAAACCTCATTTCTCACACTGGGTAAGACTGTGAAAATGAGATATATCACAAAAGTAACTCGGCAGAACTGTAGAAAAGTAAAGACTCTGAAGTTCTCCTACACAGTGGGTTTCAGAACTACTGGTGGGAAAATGTTTTATCACCAATGTACATGGTGTATATACCATACACGATCCCCTGCAAATTAAGCTGAATAAGAGAAGGTGGTTTATCTACTAGTTCTGCATAACAGGCTCCATTCTTGGAAAAGGCTGAGACCAATGCAGCAGAGGTGCTCCCCTCCAGAAAAGAAAGCTTTTAATCTGTTTTTTTTAATGCTGTTTTTATATTTATTTGCATCTGTGTGTTCCTTTTCATGCTCTTCATTTGGACAATGCTTCTGAAAAATTCTGAAGGAGTTTTTATTATCTCAGATACAGTAGCTTGTCTGATGTTATTCATTACCTATATTTACAAATGGCCCTGGCCTTCCAAATTTAGCTTCATGTTCATATTACATGGTGCACTGTGGGTATTCTCAGGAGGAGCATGTGGGGGCGGGGGAGAAGGGCAGCTGTGCACTTTCATATTGGGGCGAAAAGTTGTAAATCTGCCCATGCTGCCTTTCTTCCTGGGCACAGGGAGTGAAGATTGCAAGCCCCGTAGCCTTCTCATCACACAGGCATTATAATTGTGTGATTTGGGGAAAATATCTGAGAACATTGCCACCTTTTCCCATTCTCTTTTTTTCCATTTCCCCCATTCTGAACCTATTTCCTTTTTTGAAATGATACGTGATTGTATTACACTTCCTACCCAACCTTCCTTTATGCATACATGACAAATATTAACATTTGGTGGCCATTTGCAGTTCTTTCTGGACAATGTACATCCTGCACTAGATCTTGACATCACAGACTCTCACACAGCTCAGAAAATAGTGTTCTTCCTTTCCTTACCAATCATTGCTGCTGAGCCACTTGAGAGCCTCGATTAATTCGTGTTCTGGATGAGACAACGGTCTTATCTCAAAGGCATCCCTACTTACAAGGTCCTCTTCCCATTTTGGAGAGTGTTGGAGATTTGCTGGCAGGGAATTAGCTGTAAACATAAAATTACACTCAGATGTTATTATCAATATACAGTATATCCAAGTCACATCCTATTGAAAACTTGAAGAAGAATACTCTGGGTTCTGGAAGAAGAAGAGTCAGAAGTAGAGTCAGAAAATGCACATCTTTTCCTTCCATGTCCTTCCTCCCAGGTCCTTCCTCCATGATTGTTTACGAGGTGTGAAAGAAACCACTTAAGACTCAAATATGGAGCTGCCAATGTATGCCAACAAAGCAGCAATCATATCTCAGCAACTCAGGCTACAGGTACATCCTCACAATGGCTCTTCTCACCCAGTGAGCGACAGCACTGCTGTCATGAAGTCATCTAATATTATAATGCATAGTGCAGGCACCTTCTTTATAACTTTTTCCTACAGAACAAATATATGACATCGATGAAGTCCTTTCCAGTTAACATTATGGCAAAAGCAAAAGAGGTACCTATAAGAAGCTGGCAGAATTTTTATGTCACACCTGATGCATGTCTCAGGAAATTGCTGTCTTGGCTGATAACAGGGATGCTGGGCAATGAGGGCCTGTTCACTCGTTTTCTTAAGGCCATCCCAACAGAAGCTCTGCAAGGATTGCTCAGGTGAAGAGTAACAGGGGTGGCTCCATTACGATGAAGCCAACTGGATCCTGCAGAAAGTAATTTAAAGAAGTCAGTGAAGGATGAAGGAAGAAACATCTGCCAGAACGTGCCATGCAAGAAGAAAACAATTCATCCACTTCACTGTTGGACCAATGGATGTTCACATTAATAAATGATCAAGATTATTTTACTATCCTCATTAATATTCCAGTGTTATAAATTTTTATTTTAAAAATATCCCAAAAAATTCAACTGCTTATGATCATATCACCTTCGCACACACCAAGCCACACATTAATCTTTACTGTATGTACTTGTTAATATAAACTCATCAAAAAAAAGTAGAGATTTTTTTAATACGTATCACCTTGATTCCATTTTTTGACAAGGGATTTGCTTCAAAGTCAGCATTAAAAATACAATTTCCCATGTAAGCATTTTCTAGCCATCTTTTGGTATCTTTCCCTGGTCCAAGGGGTAAGTCTAGTTTGTCTGCCTTGCTTCATGTCATTATGGCAAATTGGTTCACTCCTTTCTGCCTACTCCCTTCTGAAAGAACTTCAACAATAATTCAACATTTGCACACAAAATAACTCAATAGTTTTAAATTATGCATACACTTATCCTCTGGCATTCTTTTTCATGTGAACCAAAAAGTAAAATGTTTCAGATTTTGAAGAAAGGAAATAGAAAAGCAGCTACCTAATTAATCAGGGATGCTGTCTTAATCAAGCAGAAAGGTTTTTTTAAGTTGAATTAATCAGTGTATTAACTAAAGATGATAGCTCAATAGGATAATCTTCATTCTACATATACTGGTTGGTTTCAAAGGCCTACTTTAAAAAAACATCACACTGAGCAACTGTACTAAAAAAAAAAAAAAAAAAAAACCTTTTCCCCCTAATTCTGTCAGCAAAAAAAGCAAAATAAAAAAATGACCAGGCAGAAGGGTCTGGATTTGGCAGAATATATCTTTCCTTGCTGCAGCAGAGAGCACTGCCAAACTTTCTTACAAATGCCCCTAAACTTACAATGCAGAGTTCATGGAAGCAACATTGATGCTTTTTCTGAAAGTTTTACATCTTAAGAGCATACATATACTTAAAATGGATAAACGCTTTCTACAAAATATTTTCCCTGAGCTATAATTGTGTTGAAATTAAATAGTGTTGTGCACCTTGTGGTCCTAAACACGCCCACGGTCTCAAAAGCTGTTCAAATGGCCCTTGGAGACCTTTCAAAGTTGCCAGCAAACTAAAAATTATAATGCGCTTGAAGGGGCAAACCACTAAATCCATGGAAAGTGATTATGTTACTATATTTAACTGATTTAAATGTAATTTTAATTTGGGTAAAACTAAAAATAGCTTTTATCCTGGACCCTAATAATTTTACATATGCAAGTCCCATTATGTCACACAAAAGCCAAAGGTAGCCTTCAATCTGAAAGTGTTGTGTACTCTGGGTTTCTGGGAAGATAATATTGCTGGACAGACAGTTGCTGTTGCTGTTTTAAAATATGTGGTACGGACAAAACGTAACATCAGATCCAACATTGTCCCTGGCAGGGACTCTATGTTTAAAACATAAAACTCATAGAAATGTATCTGATGCCATGAATTTTTCTTCTTTTCTGGCATTTTTTATTCAGAGTAAAGGCAATCTTATCTAATATTAACCCTATATAAACAGATTCTCAAACCTTCAGATTCTAATTCCAGCCCAAAGACATAATTCGGGAAAAAAGAGTTCTGAGATTATCAATTACCACATTTTAGGGGTCTTCAACCTCATCTTGTATGCTAAATTTTCTGACTACTAAGGGAATCTATGATTATGCAAAACTCTACTGAGAGCTGAGGGAGGGGCTGAATTCCAAAGGGCAAAGAGACAGCAAAGTTTAAATAATCTGGTCACTAGAAAGAGAGTTAAGAAAATGCCTCTCTAGCAATTCTCATCTATAGTGATGCAAACAGTTGCTTTCGCTTGGCAAAATTTCTGTCCATAGGTGAAAAAAAAAAATAAAGGAAACTCCTCAGAAGAAATTTCACTGTCTTTCTTGGGTCTTGCTGACAAGAACCCAGCATGAATGGGGCCAATACTGGCATATAGTTGTTTTAATTTAAAAAAATCTTTTAAAAGTTCATTTTAGCTCGCACTATTTAAAAAATGTGGTGTAAAGCTACTACTATCCGAATTTTAATTTGCCAATATAACTCCCTACTAATGTTCTGCTGGGTACTGCAACTTCAAACCGATCAGACAATTTGCTTACTAAAAGAGCTGGATTGTTTGACCTACTTTTCCTACTGTTGTCTAGGGCTCCATTTTAATCCATCTTAAGGTCACCAGAGGACACCATGAGTGCAGGGGTGAGGGGAGTGGGTAAGCTCCTTAAACTTGGCACCAGACCATTTCTACTGTGACTGGGCAAAATAAGCCATCTGCAAAAGTAGATTTCCCCCTTCTTTTACAGTAATCACATACCATCCAGAGCATTCCTTGACTGTTGTTCCTGGGTTTTTGTGGGTCTTTCCTTTTCTCTCTCTTTCTCCTTTTCCTTTTCTTTACGCAAGAACTCTATCTCCTTTAGCTGCTTCTGACGCATTTTCTCCTGAGCTGACTTGGATATTGTCACATGAATCTGGACACAATAGAAGTATACACACTTCATACAAATGTATATGAGTGCGGATGCATATATATAGAGAATAACTTGTACACAACAGCAAAGAGACAGATTAATCTGTTACATTATTAATTTGTTATAACCCAAAATAAATCTTTTATAAGTGTGAATGATAGTTTCACACTCTTCATTTTTCATTGGAGTCAACCTGAATAGATAGCCATGGAAAGTTCCATCAATTTAGCATGTGTAATTCAAGTTGGATTTTTAAAAAGAGAGATTCAAGCCACATTAGACATGAATCATAACATGGCAGATTCTCTCAGTAGATCTCTGAGCATCTTTACAAGTTTCTATAAAGATGGAAGAGGGAGCAGTGCTGTTAGGAGAGACTTGAATGCCAGCCATTTAATACTTGATTTAAGTCTGAAACTAATTGCAAAGCAGAGAGGGGAAAATGCACCATATGTAACACAGGTACCTGCTGAAGTTTCTTTCATGCTTAACAGCAGCTTTGAGACCAGGAGCCCAATTTACATTAGTGAAATGGTGCAGGAGAAAAAGCATTAAAGCCCAGTTCCTAATGATACAGAATCAATCCAATTTGTTATATTCATAAAACCACACCAGCTGCTTTTCAAAGGAAAGCATAAGGAACTCTAATCCTGTTTTCCCCTTATCTCATATTATTTGTTACCCAATATCTCATATTATTTGTTACCCAAAGTTGGAATTGCTAGATAAAGCTTAATCTGAGGCAGATATTCAATCAGGAAAAAAATATCAAGGGATGTTGTACTACATCAGAAAAATTAGAGCAAGAAAAAAGACCTGCAGCAATTTTTTTTATAGCAACAATCTCTTATGAAATCACTAACACATACTGCTAGTTTGGGGCTGATGTTAAGCCCATACTGACCCTAAAGCTGTTCAGCCCCCCAGATAGAAAAGCTTAAGAAGCACAATGCTGAATTGATTAGAAACTATTTGATCTGTGACAAGTAAAATGGAAGTGATAGATTGTAGTGTATTAGGATATAGCCTTCCTAATCAGTTTAGCATTGCATTGAACATAAATTGCTTGTATCAAACATCAATTCACTACTTCACATTTATTATAATTATCACACATTTTCAGTGTGACATGTATTCTTTTGCATTCCATAAAATGCATGCTTTACTTAAATTATGTATTCATTCTTATGGCTGTTGCTATGTGTGGAGTATGAGCATGTGGATATCATACAGACTTTATTGATATTCCACAGTAATTAATAACAAATGACTCAAATTTATCCCTACCACTATTACCTATCTACCTACCTACGCATTGAGAGTCAAAGTATTTATAAGCCTTTTTGGTAAATCTTTGAAAAGAACAAGGTAGTGTAGTACTAAAGATGCTGGAGTGGAATGGAAAAACCTAGCTTTTACTCCAGCCTCTGTACTGAATACACACAGGTTGATTTTGAGACAGGGACTCTTTTTCTACACGATATGTTTCAAAGAGCAATTTGCGGAGAGAAAAGATAGAGCAGAGAGACTGCCTTGAGATCTTGAAAAAAAAGGACCTTTATAGAAGGGAAGGAGGATGGATGGATAAATGGATGGAGGGAGAGATGGATGGATGGAATTCCAACCAAGGCCAGCCCTATCATTGGGCAAAATGAAGTGTGAGGAAACCACTAGGTTTTTCATTGTTTAATTCATTATCACTGCCTTTCTGTTGGAGAGGGAAGCATTCGTGTTGATGGCTGAGCTCCTGTGTTGCTCATCCTGCCAGTATCACTTCTGGGCTTAGGCCCCACTCCTTCTCTCTCCTTAGTTCTTCTCCGCCAGAAATTCCTTTCCAAAACTTGAGGACAGTATCTCAAGAGAGATTCTTCACTGATTGCTTGATAATGCCAGCTTTGCAAATGGCAGAGTAGAGCCTATCAAGCTCAGCTATTATGCCCACCTTCCAAATAGCATTCCCAGTATCCCTTCATGCCAGTTTGAGTCCTTATTGTAATATTTTCTTTTTTTCTTCTTGCTAAATACCAACCTTAAAATTCACCTCATGCCAAAATGCAAAACAATGGAAATGGAAACATACCCTCCCATTGCTCTCTTTCCATTCATCTTTTAACAGGTGAGGATTTGAATGCAAGCCTTCTTCCTTGGTCAGACAGAGGGAGGAGGTGGCAGGTGGCAGTAAGGATGCCAGTGATCCCCCAACAATCTTCAGAGGTGCAGGAAAGCCATTCTGGAAAGCAGGTTTAGACAATCCAGTTTCTGACAAGCCAATTTAAAAAAAAGGAATATATTACTGTGGACTGTAACTATATTTGTAATTTTAAAAAGTATTTGTGAAGCAAAATGTTTGCAAGAGCAAAGAAAAGAATCACGGAGAATTCCAGCAAATTAAATCATTCACTGCAGATGGAGTTAAAGGGCTCTTGTTCATAAACACTACACCAGTATAAAATTTACTGTCCCCATTGATGAACATAAACACAATATCAGTAAATGGTGCTATTCTTATTTATGGAGTTTAGGAAACATTAAGGTCAGAGATTGGTGTTTCATCTGACTTTCTTTCCATCTTCTCTTATCAAACTTCACCTCAGCATGAAAATATCCATAAATCACTTTCCTTAAACACAGAATAGACTGCACTAGGGGAAAAAATGAGTTAAGACAGAGGGCTAGACTGACAGGTTAATCACCTGTGAAAACTCAATCTGCCTTGTGCAAGTTTTTTGTATACTGTATTGACAGAGAACCCAGCTGATAGACTCATTTCAGACCCATATGAGGTGCAGTTCCAGAAGAGCATTAAATCTATCTTCAAAGGAGCCTAAATAACAACTCACAGGTTTGGGATAGCCTCTCAGTGACTATCAGCCACTGATGAGGGAATTATTAAGAATCCCCTCCATCTCTACTCTTTCACTTGCAAATGTCTACATGGAACCTTTCAGCTGACCCAGAGGTGGGTTGCCATATATGTTTACTCTAATTTCATTACTAAATTGACATAAACCTCTTTCTGTTGCTTTTCCTGGGATTTAAAAAATGTACAGATCCCAACCAGCAACTCCATGGAGAGGTTGAAATAAACTACTTGCTTCTTCCCTGGGCACAGATTGACCTGTTCACACTTTCTAACTATGTTAGTTTCAGTGGATAATCATTCCTGTCCATATTCTCTCTCTCCCTCTCCCTCTCTGCCTCTCCCTCCTGCCCTTCAACTCCTGAAATAAAGAATAAGTACTGTAGCCTCTTTCCTTCTTTCCTATTCTTCTGTTAAGAACAGGCAAGTTGAATTACATAAGAAAAGTTTTTATCTTGGCAGTACAGTAATGATTTGTTCCCTGGGCTGATCATCACAACCTAAGTTAGAGTAGGAAGTATCCTCTCCAGGTTAGGCAGAGCTCATGTGCAGAACATGTGTGTTCTCAAGTTCCAGGCTCAATTCCAAGGCAACTCTTCTGAAATCCTGGAAGAAGCTGCACTCTGGGAGCATCAACCCTATCGAGCTAGACAGACCCATAGTCTGATCCTATAATAGGCACAAATAAGTCAAAGAGGAACAAAATGAGGTAGGAGAATAAGTAAAAGTTCATTAATGTGTTAGTAAGTGTTATGTGGCAGGAGCTTGTCTGTTATAATTCTATTATTGTTGTTGTTGTTGTTGTTATTATTATATACACAAACATGTGAAATCACAGCTGCTAGTTCTTTAGCCAGTGTTGGCCTTCATAAACACTGAGTTCTTCCCAAGAACCTAGGATGTTGCACTGTATCAGCATAGTATGTGTGCAGACCCAAGCTGTGTGGCCTTTTGTAATTAAGAGGTGGAAATTTTGTCAACATGCAAATTTTCTAAGTGCTGTCCAAGATTTTCTGGTATTATTGTTATAGTCTGCATTGAACACGGATTGAATGATGGCCTAAATGACCTTTATACTTATATTCTATTTATTGATTTATAAATTTATAAATATTTATATTCTATTCTATTTCTATTTTATCCTAAGATCAGGATAGAAACAGAAAAAAGAATAAATGGAATAAGAGCCATAGAAAATTGTAAAGACCTCGGACAAAAATAACAAGAAGGTTGCTTTGCTATCTTACTGTATCCCATATACAGTGCATGCTATATGAATGGTTTAGTGAAAACAGCAAAAATGTTAGATATGCATTCTAACATCTTTAACTGCTAGATACTGGATCTAAGCTCCAGATTTTGGATCCAGCTGAAATACTTGTTCTTGATGCAAAGAAATTAAATTGCATCATAAAAGAATACAACTAGTTTAAAGTAGTTATTACAATAAATTTGTTTTCAAGCTATCTCCACTATGGAATAATTATCAAGGCAAGCAGCTTTACCCTTTGAAATTAACACTTTTGACCAGGCCATCACCCCAAGATAAAATGTGACATTTCATTTCAACACACAACAAGGGATGACTCTCCAGCTGAGTTTTTTGTATCAGTGAGAATTCAAAATGATCTGCTTTAAAAAACAATGAATTCAAGCCAATCATAATTTATACAACAATGTTGTTTAAAAATCAATAACATATTTTTGTATGTTTATTTCATTCCAGCCTGGAGCACTTTCATTTTCCTGTTCAGCAGATCAGTAATATAGTTTCATGATTGCTGGTACAATAATACAATGTCCAGCACCATGATAGTAAAATTAGATTTTCTCAGCTTCATTAACTTTTATTTATAACATTTACATTTATCTACTGCCTTCCTCCATAGTGTGCAAAGTAGCATATATGATCTGTTCTCATAAAAATCTTGTTAGATAGCTCAGACAGAGAAATAAAATTAAGATATTACACAAATAAAAAAATCCTAGTGTTCATCTTGGTAAAATGAAGATGGGAATAGTCAGCCAATCTTGGTTAACCTTGAAAAAATGAAGCAGGTCCACTCCTGGCTACAACATAAGTAGAAAAGTATCCAGAAAAATTCTAAGAATCTCATTTGTATCATTTTCACATTGCCATTAAAAAAAACTACTATACATGAATGTTTCCACAAAGTCACCAAAAGTTATATAAAATCATTTTCATTTTTAATTTCCTTTTATTAAGGTACAGTTGAATATTTTCATACAGTCTGTTCTGACTGAGCCTACCAATCAGGAGTTTGAGAATTGTCCACCCTTAAAGAAAAAGAATCTATAAGGGTAGTTTGGAGGATGGGAGCTAAACTTAATACTGATGTTTAAAGCCTGTATGTTAAGAAGTTAAAGAAAAAGATGCATTAGAAAGTTTTGATTCTAGAAAAGTGTTTAAGTTTAACATTTGAAAAAAAAGTGGAAAAAAATTTGAAAGGTCAAAAAAATTGTAAGGTCAAAAAATTTGAAAGAATATAATTAAATTTGTTAATAAACATGGCGATAGTTACAAAGATTATTAGGTGCAAATAGAAATATATACTATTTCCACAACAAGAAAGATAAAACAAGAATGGTTAAACTGATCATTCTATTCAAAGAGTAGAATATATTTGAGTATGTTTTTTATTTGGATATCGCTTCTGGATATCACTTATGAAACTTTGACTTTGATTTTGTCCATTAGATAGATTTGTCGTTATAGAAATGGCTAGTTATATATTAATGTATAAAAGCAAAAAAGTTGAGGCTGGAGTGTTTTTATCTTGTAATATGCTAAAAAGAGTCGGAAGTCAATGCCTTTTTTTTCTTTTTTCCCTTGTACCTCACACCTTCTTTTCCCCTCTCCATTTCCTTCCCTTAATTTCCTATTTCTATTTTTCTTTGTATTTTATATATTAAATTAAAAAAAAGAGAGTTGTCCATCCTTCCCACTAAAGAAGGAAAAATAAGAGAATTACCTAATCAACGGCCCAGAATTCCATGAATGAGACAGGGCATCTCCACTGCAAAAATCTTACTTTGAAGCATGTTTAACTTACCCTGAAATTTCCATTGTTTAAGTTCAAATAAATTACTATATGTACGTACCCAGTGTTTTTGGGCTGTTGTCTTCACCATTACCAGGCTCTGACAATGACCTTAAAGACAATTGGGTGGGGAGGAGTGAAAAAAATAGAGAGAGAAATTAAACTGTCTTTCACAAGGAAAGATAAATATAAAAATTTAGGGGGCTCTTAATTGATAGAAAGAGCAGTGGCGGTGCAGTGGTTAGAATGGAGTATTGCAGGCTAACTTTACTGACTGCCAGGAGTTCGATCCTGACTGGCTCAATGTTGACTCAGCCTTCCATACTTCTGAGTCGGTAAAACAAGAGAGCAATATGCTGACTTTGTAAACCACTTAGAGCGGGCTGTAAAGCACTATGAAGTGGTATATAAGTCTAAGTGCTATTCTATTGCTATAGCACTTAGACTTGTTATGCTATAGCACTTAGTTTCAACTTGTTGGAACTCGCAATTTGCAGGGAGTGTACGGAGGGGCCCAAGAGAGTAAGCTAATCAAGATAATCAAATGGCTAACTCATTAGCTTGCAAACACAAGCAAAACAGAGATTTGAACCAAGAATTTCCCAGCCAGTTGTTCAGTTATTATACAATGCCATAAGCATCAAATCCTCATCACAAGCTGCCACAAGCAAGAACAAGAGAGGACATTAGTCTTGTGGGATTTGTAGAGGCATTTAGTTTCCACTTTAAGAACTAGAAGGATTTTGGTCTCCTTCGGCCAAATTCTTTTTTTATTATTCAGAATCTAAGAAATTTACTTACTTATACAGCATTGCAGTGTGACTCATGTTTCTATTTGAATGAGTGAGATTTAAAATGGTCTATTGTTTATTGAAATTGAGAAAGTTTACAGAGGACAATTTGTAATCTGCTGGAGAACCCTTCTCCAATATAACATCAGCATGATCCAGATGTACGGGAACCATAACTCTAAGGATTCCCAGCAAGTATATCAAAACATTGCTAGAAATTGCAATGCCAGCATATCTGGAAGGTGCCAGATAGTGAAGGTTGTCTTAAAATCAACTAATGAGGCTTTTTAGATGTAACTTTGAAAGAAAGACACAGGAACAGCAGAAAAGGCTTACCTTGTTTTGGGACACTCAACTATAGCAAGTGGGACACATTCTGCCTGCGGCAGGCTTGAAAAGCATTCTGCAACGTTCTGAGAATTTTCTTCATATGCCTTTCCTAACTTGGGGATGGGTGGGATCAAGGCAGCACCTAAAGATTTTTTTGGATTCTCATCATGACCATGTGCAATCTACAGGGATGGATGGGAGGGAAAAAAATAACTTTAAAACTATGCTGAATGTCACAGGAGCGTGAGAACCAGGTTATTTCAAAGACCGCCTCTTCCCATTTGCATCTACCGGTTTGTTGACGGCAGCATGATTGCTTTATGCACAAAAATGGAAGGACACTTCTATCCCCACAATGGACGAATAGCTGCAAAATTTGATGGAGTTAGCAGAGATGGCTAAATTCACTACTTTAATAAAAGAAAAAAAAAACGTAACTACTTTTGTTTCTACTTGGAAACCACTTCTGGACTTTGTGCTTGAGGTGGAAAGAAAATGAAACTTTGATTTTGGTTTTACTGATTAAATAGATTTGTTGATATAGAAATAGCTAGTTTACTTGTAAAAGTAAAAAGTTGAGGCTTGATGTTACTGTCTTATTTTACTGCATCAAAGGGACTCAGAAGTCAAAGCCTTTTCTTTCTTTTTCCCTTCTTTTCTATACTCTTCCCTTCCTTTTTCTCTTCCCTGTTAATCCTATTATTTGTTTTTGTATTTTATACTATAAATGGTTTAAAAAGAAAAAAAGTCAGAAAAAAGAAGAAATTTCAGCAATAATTCTAATTAGATGGAGAGGCTTCAGGAACGTTTCTGCACTTATTTCACTCGGCTGTAGAAAGTGAGAAATCTGCTTGAGAACTGTCCCAGAGCTCTGCTTCCAATCCTGCTTGAAGCTCTCTGCTGCCTTAAGCTTTCTTGTGTCTGAGTCAAACCTTCTCAAGGGCTTCACCTTGTCAAACAAGCTTCAACTAGCCAAGTTACTTTGATAGACAAAGGATATTCTTAATGCAAGAACCAGCAAGTGATTTGACACCTCACTTGTCAATACCACAAAAGCAGAAGTTCTTGCAATTTATTTTGACCTGTTTGGTAGGAATGTGTTTTCAGGCAGAGGTACCAAGAACTGAATAATTCTCCTTTAAAACACTATATTGGCAGAGCTAAGAGTCAATGAGACTATTCAGAAAAATCATGTACTGTAGGTATACTACTCCATAATGCAAATCAGAGGTCATATTATGTTCTCCTTTACAATATAATAGCTCTTTGCCCCTAGGAGGTGGTGCAATGGAAAAGAAAATGCCAGGATAATTGGACTATTCTTTCTAAAAAAAATAAAACAAATAAATCAAAGGGAAAATAAGATGCCTCTGAACCCCAGCTAAACCAGGCTCTGCTTCAGGAGGTAGCAATACTTGGCCAACATTGTCAAGTTGAAAAGCTATGCAGAGTCAGATCTGAGAGGCTTGAACACTTGAATGGGAGGCCATCAGAGCTGTAGGTTACACTGGAAAAAAAAATATTCCAAAATAAGGCACTGGCAAACCACGTCTATACTATTGCCAAGAAAACTACAGGAATGTGTTCAGAAAGCGAGCAGGACTTAAGCTCAACTTCAAAGGGTCAAAAAACCTAATCTCTGTTTATGCAGAACATACATTTTTCAGTTGCACAGAAATCTTCAGGAAGCAGAAAGATGGAAGAAAAAAAATCCATATCGCATGAAAGCTAAAGTATTTCCTTGTTTTCTAACTTTTCACTCTATTAACATTAGCTGTGGAATAAAAGCTCCCTCTACTTGTTTTTCCTGTCTTCTTTTTTTCCTCAGAGTTTCAGCTCTTGACTCCTTTTAAATTCTTATTTTTAAAAACTTTACTGGAATAAATTTATTATTCCTGCCAGGTAGCTTTGAATTCTAGTCAATTTTGCAACTCTTTTGACCTTCCACCAAAGTCTGCTTTTCAGAAGAGAAGCCTATTACTTTTTTGCATTAGTGCCCCTCCTGCTGGCTCTCATCAACTTGTCAGCCTAAATGATAAGAAGTAATCACAGGATCCTTGGTCCTCTCCAAATGGTGTTTAATAATTGTCATACCTAAGTTACTACAAGTTCTTAATTTTAGAAGAACTTCATATCGCACTGACTGTGCTATATGAAATATATAGTCTTCCTCAGCAATTATTGCAGCATCAGGAATGAATTTATAATGCAGTTCACCTCACTTTGCTGATTCTCTACATAAGCTGGTTTAACGTCTTCCAATCATACCAAAGGAAGAGAACAAAGGGGGGGGGGGATCTGTTGGAAAACTGCCAACCCAAAAGTCCCGAGGAATATTTCTCTAATATTCCCAATGGCTGCATCAATCTCCTGAACCTGGTGTCCACCTCCCAATGACTTAGCAGGCTGGGAATGATGGGAGTTATAGGGCAAAGTTGAGCTGTGCCTTCTCTGCAAACAATAATTTGCAAGGAGAATCAACAATCCTTAGATGTAAAAGTTTATTTTGTCTGTTCCTATACTGCATGCTCTCAATCTATAAGCCAGTCCTCAGTGATCTGTTAAGGTCTTTCATTGTTCCGTATTAAAAAGAGGTCATTCTGGTAATATAGAGCAAAAAGAAAGAAAGAAAGAACCATAACACTAACCATAGTCTACAAGGATTTAATGCTAAATGAAGGAAGTGAACCGCTTGGCTTCAGTTATCAGAAGGTCAAAGGATGGTCCTAATGAAGAGTTTAGGGGCTGAGGGGGCTGCTAGCTTTGAAGAATAATGGATTTCCATTACATGAAGTAAGACTAGTTCAGTGTTAGGTAAAATAATAAGCCTTCCTAAAGGTAAGAGCAGTTTATTTGTGGATGCAACTACTGGGAGAGATGGTAAGCTTCCTTTTTAAAAAGTGGTTTCAAATCAGTGGTCTAAACTGCCCCTTCTGTGATTCTACAATTCACTTTTTCCTAATCTTAGATCTCACTAGAACCTGCTCATTTTTACTTGAATATACATTTCTTCTATTTTCAGAACAATGCAACTTGAATTTATGCAACCCACACATTCAAATCCTCGTTTTTAATAGCAGATCTATAAAGTAAAGCAAAAATAACAGAGTTGGAACAGACCTTGGAAGTCTTCTAATCCAACCCCCTGCTTGAGCTTCCATTTCTTAAGCACGGGCAACATATATTTTATACCTGCTGGGTGGATGTTAAATCTGGATTAACTCCTTCAGCCTGTAAAGAGCTTGAACCATTCTCCCTAACTTGTGGCTCTGTTTCTTGAGCATTGTTGGTCTCTGGGGTATTTGGTATGCTCTGAATAGGAGGCATGGGCTTGGGAGTGACCAGCAGTCTTTGAGAAGCAGATCTGGAAATGGCTGGTTTAAGGGCAGGTCCCTTGGGAACAGCTTTGTCCAGCAAGCCTGCAAATACAAAAGATAAAAAAAATGGGAATATTTGCAGGCTAATGTCAAATTCAAAGGAAGTGTCCCTCAGCAGCACCAAACTGATTGCATAACAAATTATCACTTGTTTTCCAGATCAGTTTTATCCTATAGTGGGTTATTTTCAACACCAGGAAATACCCTGAATAAAGGTATGATGCATTCTTATCCTGCAGTTGTCTCTATGCATGCAGAGATCAAAGTACCAGGTTAATCCAACCCCTATGATAATCATGAACTTCCATAAATGAATCCAAGAAATAGCTATATCCTGTTTCTGAATAAGTAGCAACTGGGCCTTCGTCCTAACTGAAATATGGAAAGATCATTACCTTTCACAATTAATTCAAAGGCACAAGATCTAATGGTATGCTATACCTAAAATAGTGAAAAAGGATCCAGTAAACTGAGCCCTTAAAAAAAATGAACAAAACAAAATTGTATCAGGTGTATACAACAAACTCACACAAGGCTGGGTACACAGGTAACATGCAACAAAGAGCCCAAATTGGTCATTCTATCTATTGCATTGATTTGGCAAGCATTAATTTAATTTCACTTTAAGAAGCGTTCAGGTTGATTTGAAAATAGTTGGTGTGCAAAATGGCTCTCAGTTGCTTTCTTATTGAGGTCAGTAAATCAAATCAAATCTTTGTTGCAATCATAGACCAGCATAACAAAGTCAGTATGTTTATGGCATCACCTGCTAGAATATTAGAGAAGAAACTTGCACTACACTAGATGTTATCCAGCACAGTTCTTTTAACTTTAAATAAATACGTTATCATTTTGGTCCAATTGCCTTGCAGGTATGTGTTGCTAGATTGATTGATGATTGTATGTACTAATGGCAGATTTTAATAACTCTGTAATTCTTCTCTCTAATAATGTAGCTCAACTGAGCTTTAGACCACAGAGCCAATAATTCAAGAATTATGATTTCACTGGGTACTTATTCTGGCTCAGCCTCCAGTCATAAAATTAGAATAATGACAACTTATCCAAACAAGGCTGAAAGCTATACTTGATTTATAGCAATTATATATAAAGGTTACTGATAAATGTATTCTTTCCAGAACTCATCCTACCTTTTTTTGATGCCAGTAGGCCTTCTGACATTCTTCTTTTTTTGAGTTTATCCTTAATTTGAGCAGTCTCCATGGCTGCACTATTTATTTCCAATTCACTGAGACTGTACTTTGGCTGGGCATTAGGTATCTGTGAAGAGTCATTCATGACTGTACTGTCTGTATTCTTCTGAAGGCCATGTCTACTGTCGCAGCTCTCCAGAGAAGAAACATCTGGAGGTTCTCCTTTGCTTCCCCATAAACATGATTGTTGTTTTAAAACTGAATGAAGAGATGCTGTGGAATAATTTAAGCAGAGCAGCTTGGTTACTCAGTCTGAAATTTACTTCTCCAGAGAACTAGGAAGTCAGGGGGTTGATTAAGAACTTCAGATGCAAGGATAGTCGGCCAGACAGGTGCAATGTAAGATGTGGCTTCTCTTCTGCAAAATTCTGTATACAGTAATGTAATGTTCTGAAAGATTTAGCTTATTATGCAGGGATGGGGGGGGGGAAGAGCTATTGAAAGGCCTTAGAATTTGAAAGACTATTGAATAGTATAGAATGAACACTATCTAAAAATCAACACAGCAATATCATGATGCCAATATCTTTATATAAAATTCTGATTTTGTTGTGTTTGTAATATGTTCCTGGTTTGAGAGCAGATCAGCATTATGCAGTATATTGTTGAACTGTATCAGCGTTATGCAGTATATTGTTGGATAGGTTTTCCATGAGATAGACTTAAATTTGCTACATCACTACTGAAAGGCTGACTAGTTCTGCTTCTCCTCCCAGTCTAATATATTCTTCTTTCAAATTGTCTCAATACTTGCAAGTTTCCATAATATTTCACCCATACTATGTTGATAATAGCTATTTTATGGCTTCAGCTAATCCCAAGATTAGCTCAAGCTGCAGCACCTTGGAGATTTGTGTATACATAAAAGTCACTGACATGTGTGTGTGAATATAGACACAGCTCTGCTGGATATTAGAGAAAATCAGCTTAAGTCTCATTAAGTCTATTTATTGGGGTCACAACCACACCCATATCTAGGCTGCCAATCATACCCAAGGTAGGGTCCTCGCCCTCATGTGTTGTCATCCATCCATTTCCATGGAGCTGCAAAGTAGAATCAATGCTTCCTCCTCTAGATGACTTGCATCCAGATTTTAGTTTGGGAATGCTGCCACAATATATTGCAACCTGAGCTTGGTACTTTCCTATAAAATAAAATAAAAATGAATAATAGAAGGGAGAAGGGAAAACAATCATTTGCTAATCCTTCAAGTCTTGCATATCCCTTGTTTTGCCTCAGGTTGGCTCCACTCAGGACAGAAGTTTCAGGAAGGGATCAGGGAAACTCAGTGTGTAAGCAGACTTCCATTCTGAGAATTTGCAACAAAAAAAAAGGAAGGAAGGAAGGAAGGAAGGAAGGAAGGAAGGAAGGAAGGAAGGAAGGAAGGAAGGAAGGAAGGAAGGAAGGAAGGAAGGTCGGTCTTTACCTGCCATAAAATCATCATGTGTTGCCATGCACCTCGAAGAGCCTGAGGTACCTGCACAGCTAAGGAGTTTCAACTTCTACTCCATTTTTCTGGACCCAGAACTGCTGTTACTTCTTTCCCAGAATATCTCAGTTTCTGCATGAAGGGACAGTATAAACATCACAATGTATCACATAATCTTTATGACTATACATTCTCACCTGCCAGAAAAAAAATTAAATACACAATTGTTACTATCAATTATTTTGATTTAGCCATAAACTGTTGCCACCATTAAACATTTTAATAGGAAATAGTGAATAAATTTATGACAGCTAAATAAGTAGAATAAAGAACTGAGAACTGCTTCATACATTTTAAAAATCCTACACAAAAATAATCTATTTAAAAATCATGCAATTGCCATATTGAGTGAAATATTCGTATGAGTTATTAATCAAGTTGCAAATACAGGATAGGAAGTTAGCCTTTAGTCTAGATGACAACAGTTCTCCGAGGTGGCAGGGCAGGGAATTCTGTGGTAAGTAGATGTGGATGTGAAACTGAAAGTCGGATGGGTTGTTTGCAATGAAGACATTTATGTAGCCTTGTGGAACCTGATAAATCAGAAACTTCTCAGGGATGACAACTAGGAAGTTTGCCTGTTCTTGACTGAGAAGTCTGATAATGGTGGAATATGTAACACCTCGAAAACAGCAGATTTATAATTTGTGGTGCTCCTGAATTCATAAATGTTCATAAAGGACTAAGAGGAAAATACCATCTTCAATTGGTACTGTATAGCAGATATGACAAAAAGAATAGCTTTTTCTAGCTACAACAGTACATGCACTGGTAACCTCACATTAGATGCTGGATTACTCTTGTGTGCTCTAGTGCTCTTGTGGAGCCACCTTTGCTCTTTGCCTGAGGTTGCAGCTGAGCAGAATATAAGAGTCAATTTGTTGAATGGGATATCAGTAGATACTGTATTATTAGTTTTAGTTGATGGCTATTAGTAATTGAGTCAAATGTTTTTGCTTGTGGCTTATTCCGCCTGATGCAATCTGGAATCATAAGAAATTGCAGATGCCTTTCCTCCCCATAGAATCAGATAGTCACCAAGATCAACATCTATCTATCCATCTGATTCTTAAAGACAAATAGGCCTTTTCTGCAGTGGCTCTTCCTCGTCATTCAGGAGACACCATATCTCTTAACTGTTTGCTAAAGACTAATGTATGAATCCAGTTTTTTCTTTTCCTTCCATATTTTAAATGATTTTATGCTTAGTAGTCTATTATTTTGTGTAATTATGCTTCATATTTATTTTTAACTGAATACAATGTTTACAGTTGTTGATATAAGGGATATAAAATCTGCAAATAAATATAACTTTAATACACCTTCTTACAAAGTTTTCAGTCAAAAACCATTGCATTAAGAATTTCACAGAAATGTAAAGTCCACAAGATCACTAGGTCACAATGATCACATTTCTGTTGGAGATGCAAATCAGGTCAATCTATGTCCAGTATCAGAAAAATCAAATTTGTGGGGTCCTCTTTGAGCTTGATTATTTTCTTGCAGACATTTCATTACCCAACTAGGTACCAACTAGGTACCCATCAATGGTAGCAATGGGCTTTGCTCTTTGTTTATATAAAAGTGGTTTTGGTAGGAATGTTCTTGGTACTGTATGGTAGTTCCTTGATTAGGTTGTTTATTGTTTGTTTCTCTGAATTTGTTGTTCCTTGATTGGAGTATTGTTTACTGCTTGATTATTGGTCTGATATTAATCCTGCTGTTTATCTCTGCTTATCTGAATATTTGCTGATGAAGAGATGTTTTGGTTTTTTGTTTCCTTTTCTAGCTTTTTGATTGTCTCACTTGAATAGGATGTACTTATCTTCACATGCCTGTTGCTGGCTTCTTTGTATGTATGCCAGGCTTCCAGAAATTTTCTAGCATTTGGGACTTAACTTGGTGTAAGATGCTCAGTTGAAACTATGGTCAAGTCTGTCCCCATACTATACAATTAAGGAGTTTTCATGATGTCTCTTGGCTGTTAGTTGATGTTCATGGATGCACTCTTCTAGTCTTTTATCTGTCCTACATAGTGGCTATTACAATCCTTATACTGTAAATTGTAGAGGACTCCTGGATTTTTTTTTTTAATGGTTACTGGGTCTTTTGGTTTACTTAAAATGTTTTAGAGAGCTTTAGTTGGTTTGTGTACTATGATGATAGTTGTAATAGTCTGTTGGTTGTTTCTGAGATATTTTTGATGTATGGGAGTGTTATCCTTTTTCATAGCTTGTGTGTGTTATGTTGTAGTGGGTTGAGTGGTTAGGTACTTTTTGATAAAGTTGCATGGGTATCCATTTTGTTGGAAGATGTTGTAGAGATGATCTATGTCCTTTTTTTGATGTTCAGGGGCTTGTGCTCATCTAAAAAGTGTTCTTAGACAGCCTCTTTTGTGGGAAGTTGAGTTGTTACTTTGCTAATGGAGCACTTGGTTAGTGTGTGTGGTTTTATAATAAACTTTATTAAACAGCCATTACATCTGTTGATAAAGATATGCAGGAAGGTCAATATATTGCATTCTTCTTCTCTTGTGAATTTTATTCCTTTCAAAATGATGTTGTTTGTTTCAGTTATTCTTATTTTATTATGATGGTGTTGTTTCATCATATCAATCCATACCTTTGATTGTATATGTGGGATTGCTTCAGTTTCTACATGTTGTATTATGGTCTCTGCTATGAGTCCTGAAACCAGTGATCCCATGGGTGTTCCTCTTATTTATTGCTATATTTATCTGTCAAATTGAAAGTATGTAGTAAGGCAAAGCATGATCTATGAAATTTATTAATACACAGTATTGCATTCACCAAGACTGCTCCGAGACATTTTGCTGTCTGAAGCAAACAACAAGATACTTTTACCATTCATCCTACAGATAAGTAGTTGAATTTTATTACTGACTCTTGTCTTGAGAGAACACCTTTTTGCAACTGAAGACAGCAAAATCACTTGGGGAATATTAGACAAAGTGCCTGAAAAATACATGGTTCTGCCTTCAAAATGAGGGTGCCACCTGAGAGCTATCACCACCATTGTCCAGCATTTTTCACTTAAAGCAAACAGTTCACTCTATCTAATGATTCAGATATAAATCATGCTTTCTTTAAGAACATATAAGACCAGCAAGAAAGTGATTGATTTGTGACAAGATTACATTATTATTAAATCAGATTTACTACAACAGGTTTGCCTGATCTGAGCCCCAGATTTGCATTCAGGTTATGAAATTGCTAACACAGAGAACCCACTAAAAATTGCCACCGAATTAATTGGCAATTGGCAGGAAAGCAACATCATTAAATGCCCAAGGAATCCTCAATAATCAGTACTGAATTGACTTGAATGCAACTTAAATTAACTCATGTTTATTTGTAATTGTATGACTCTTCTGCTTCATAAAAAAGGCATGAACATAGATGAGTGGAAGAACCGTGGGGAACCCAAAACAATCACATGGCAAAAGTATCATGTGGTGATTTAGAATCAATGCCAAATGTCCCCTGTGAAAGTGGCCCACATGCAGCAGTCGTTCGTTTAAAGAGACTAAAGTCTTTGGATATTAGAGTATACAGTATGGAAAGAGCCTGTAATGTATATTTCAATGATGGACAAGCTTGTTTATTATAACAAATATCTTAATTCCACAGTAAAAAGAAGAGACATTTCCACAAGGAATTAACCTGATCAATCACTGCAAGGAGATTGGTTTCTGAAGACAAAATCTGGAAAGACAAATTGAACACTTCATGCTTGCTTAAACCATGACAACAGAATATGAACCTGGGATAGAATAAGAAATATTGATTTACTCATCCAATAAAAATGAAATATTGAGAGTGGGTCTATGTATGTCTCAATGTGAAATCAGCCAATTAACTGTGAATTTGGATATAATTTATTTCTCCACTTATCATACTATAACCTGACACCATTGCTTAGGCATCTTCCCTATGGAAGATTTCTTCTCTTTGGCACTCTGCTCTGTGAATCACTAAATTTGATCATATGAATGATTAAATAAGATAGTGTCAAATGCCAAGACAAATTGAATGTTTCATGCCAAAAAAAACCCTGCACATTTTATAAGGGAAACTTCTGCAATGAAAAGTTTCTAAATAATCAAAGTTCCCATATCTCTTCTTAGTCTTAAGGATAGTGGTTACACTTCCAAGCAAATCATTCATCTGTAAATGGCTTGCTCTTTTTTATTCTTTAAAGAAGGTTATGAGGCTTTTTTAGGGATCAGTGGCATTCTCAAAAGTAAAGGTAATTCTGGAACTAGCACATGTGCTTTGAAGCATGCTTTTTGATTGATTTGATTAATTTATTGATTGATTAAATGTTAATGTAAAGATCATGTTCATGTTGGAAATTGGATGCAGGAGATGACCAGGCTGAGCCCATCATAAGTTCCTGTGTGCCTGCAAGACATCTAAGTCCATCCACCTTGAATGCCTCTGATCTCCCACTCATTTCCTTTGACCATTGGTTGGTCAGATTCTTGTAGAGAGCTTCAGCTTAAGCTTGCAATAAATAATTATGCTCATTTATGCTGCGTGAATCTCTTGATTTTCTCAGAGCTTGACACTGGGTTCACCAAAAAGTAGTAAATATGGTTAAGAGAAGGTAAGAATTAAATCTACACACTATCTACCCTCACATATAAGCCCATCCTCAGATAAGGCAAACCTTGAATTTTTCATATGTTTTAATTTTCACATAAGTAATTCATGAATTATCTATCTTTTCATGGGTCATCTTATCCACAGATGGATTTATATACAAATATGTACAAGATATAAGTATACTCTTGAAAAGAATCACCATACATACTTGCAGATAAGCCTATCCATCAATAAGCCAAACCCAATGTTTTGGGTATATTTTGGCACTTATAATTCTTGACTTATTCATGAGTATATATGGTATGTTCAGCCTGGAGAAAACAAAACAAAGAGAGAAGAGACATTCCTGAATGACCCTCACCCAGAAAAAGGAAAAGATATATCTTTGGAAGCAAAAGAGCCCAGAACTGATTTAAAATAATTTACAATATAGAAGAAAAGATTTTAGTGAAATATAGTACCTCTTGATAGTAAGACCTTTGTGACCTACAGAACTACCAGGAGCAGGCTGAACAAGAGAATAAACATAACACACCCAACATTGGGAGCAAAGTTACTCAACACAATCCTGTTTTCAGGTTGTGTATACTTGCAACTACCTTTTGAAATACCATTCTTTTAAATAAAATCCAAAGCATAGAATTATTAAAAATGCAAACTCAGGCACAAAAATCCATTATATCTAAAACCTTATATCTAGCATTGAAGTACAGTAGAATTCAGTAATGTTACTTATTAAAAGCTTTCCCATAAAGGAAATTGTAACCTATTTTATTTTCTTAATTCTTGAGCTCCCAGAGGAAATGATTCTTTAAAAGGATAGCTACCTTAAGACATTGCATCAAGCAAGTTAATCACAGGGTAACTATTCTTGAGATTGATTATAAGCAGAGGCATGAATTTGAATAAGGGAGGGGAGAGACTGAGCGGGTTTTTGAATCCAACTCTCACTGTAATTTGACACATCTATGGAGTGGCAACTTTAGGTCATGGCAAATTATTTAAACACCTTGCCCAATGTTTTCAGAGTACATATTGTTACTGTCTCCATTAGAGCTGTGGCCAAGATGCACGGATTTCTGAAAGGTGGCTGATGGATTGTGCAACAAGCTTTCACAGTTAAACAAAGACGCAAAAACAGAGAGTATATTCTCATTCATTCTTCTTAGGGACCGTGCAGTCAATGACATGCTTCTTTTCACTTCAATGACTTTTAGATCAGAATCTTGTCATGAAGACACTCATGATGGGAACAGCTTCCAATTCCTCTCCCTGCTCATTTCAACATTAAATCAGTCTATGAGTTGGGGCATTTGTTCTTTGTGAGAAAGAGGACTGGTTCAAACATATACATTCTTTCTTATTATTTCAGTATTTACTGATGATATACAGGTATGTCCACCACAAATACAGGCCCGTCATATGCTGAATATCAGGTCTCTCTATTCTCTTTCTGTTTTTTTTTAAAGCAACTCTCATTGTATCGGATATGTATTTAGTATATTTCCTCAAAGCTGAGCCAGACATGCCAGGCAACTTTTAGTAGCTCAAGTGCAGGCTAGATACAGTTACATATTATATTATAGTTTATTGATTTAATTTCTATTGTGATCCATCTTAACCAAATGACCCTGGGTGCCAAATAGTTCTAAAACAATTAAAACCAGCACAAAATAATTATAAATTTTGAGCAGAGAAAATGGGAGAGAATTGGCAATTAATGTCAAAAATGTGAAGAAATATTTACATTTTAAGTTTGGCTCATATTTTAAATTTTCATACTTGAATTTACCATTGAAACTCTGAAAGCAGTGAGCTCTCAGTACTTTGCATTTTGGCATGTGCATGAGTAAAGAACTTTTTGTTCTTAGCTAAACTGTACAATCAAGGTCAACACAAAAAGCTCCTGAACCTGATTCGATCATTTTGTCTGCTGGCATTCAGCCCACCATTTACTTGAGGAACCACAGCATGCTTTAATACGTCACTTCTTTGAGAGGTTTTCAGTTGTCTCTCTAGTCTAGAGAGTGGACTTGGAAGAATGGGCAAAAATTGAGTTCCCACCTAATTACAAAAACTAGGCCATTTGTATATTACCTTCATGGTTTGACTTTCCTACCTATTACTTTCTGCATGACTCCACAAGTCACTTCACTTTCTATGCCTCATAGATTCATGTTCATTAAATAATTTCTGCAATGGGCTAGTAAGAGTTCACCTAAAAATATATTTTACTAACAATGAAAACTGTGGCAGAATCTCTTATTTCAACATTTAATCTTTCCTAATTATTTTATACTGAATGTTCTTGCATTGTACATAGGAGAATAAGATTTCAGTTTTGGACCTAGTGACTATAATCCAAGATAATAATAGGGAGACAGCTGCTTGCTGCTTAATGGATAAAGAGACCATCTGGCTACTAACTTTGCTTTGTAGATATGAACCATCTGTAATAGCTGTGAAGTCACTGAAAAGATAAGAAAAAGGTGACTGAAATAAAACTACATACCTTTTCAGCTGGTTAAGTCCTACTCATTTCTTGTGTAATGCTGCTACTAAAAAAAATATTAAATAAACATAATACTAGCCAGAACGTTGGCCAATTCACACTAATCAGTATAGCCATTCTATTTATCAAGCACAGTGACTGCTTTAGGAATAATACATAACATATTGGAATTTAAAACTTGTTTTTAATTTAAAGGGAAGGAACAAGGTGTACATGTAAAAAGGAAAGATAAGGAGATAGAACGGTCAAGAGAAAGGCAGAAAGAAACAGTTGAGCATTTTGAGACAGTATGTGTTCCAGAAGAATAAGAGTCTATGATTCTAAGAAGCAGCCTACTGATCTTGGCTTTCTTAAAATGCAAACTGTATGCTTCTAACGTTATAAGAAAGTCAAGTTCCAACAGGTAGAGTTACTGGTAGCATTCAGAGGGACAAGGACATAAGAGCAGTCTATGTAAGAGCTAAAGGCAAGATGCATTATTCTTTGCTCCTTCCATTAACTAACAAAAGCCAAATACATTATGCTAAATAAATATATAGGTATGTTTTACACTAAAAAGAAAAAATGAAATCCATGCCAAGTAATATACATATATTAGGACTAATCTAAATGACATCCAAAGAAATTTTTTTTCAATATTTCTTAACATAGAGATTTAGATTAAAATGGTAAAGAATCAGAAATCTTTTTATTTATTTTAGATTTATGTTAGTTATTTTTCCATAATGAGGACAGAGAAAACCTGTTCCAATTTCTTGTCATAACATATAAATGTGGCAGACAGAAGTAATAATGCAACTTTTGGGTCAAAGGAATGCAAGAGCCAAGATTATGGATCAATAGTTCTGATTTACAATTCAGAAGTAAGACTTGACACAGTCAGTTCAGGCATCCTGGAAGAATTATTGAATGATTATGTTCTAATAACTCTAAAATATGTATAGCCACACTCTAAAGCACAGACTTTGCACTTGGGTTTAACTAGACTACAAGAAAGAAAGAAAAAAAAAGGTTGCCTGAGAAGTTTTTAGTTGGTCTTTTATCAGGGAAGCATGACTATGTGGGTGAGCCAAGAATAATTTGAACATCTCTCAAGTCTATAACTTCTGATTTTCACACATTTCATGAAACCAGAAGAGATTATTCCGGAGTGGCCAACTGCTTAGAAATAGCTAGCCAGACTCAACATTATTCATTAAAGATAGACTAGTTAGTTGAGTAATAATAGTAGTAAAAAGTTGTCAATCTTAAATTGCTTGAATATTTTGTTGCTCCCCCTTACCATCAAAGAGGAGGTCAGGAGCCTTAGGGCTGTTTCACTTTTTTGCCCACTTCTGCTTCTTTTTTTTTACTTTCTGTACTTAGGAGACAAGAGATTCTAAGCCAAAAAAGGTTGTCGTCTTCCTCTCTCCAGCTTCCCAAGCAGTTTCTAGCATCAATACTGAGGCACAATGTATTGCAGTAAGTAGCAAGCAGCAAGACAATAATCCATAGGGAGAAAGCGTACCGGCAAACATCTCTAATAATGTGCTGAGGGAGCGTCTGCTTCATACCCCATGGGGAGCTGAAAATCTCATATTTCTTGTCAATGGCAGGAGAATGGCCAGAAATTTAAAAACTTTCTCAGGAATTTTCAGAAGGAAAGAGCAAGCATTCCCTCACAGACATTGCAGCCTGTGTCTATGGGTCAAATCAGGCCCTCCAAAGGAGGCCTAGGATTTACTATCTTTACTAGGGAGGCTGCAAGATGCGCAGATGCACAGAATAATACTTCACTATTCAGCCTTCATTCAGTTAATTTGTTATACTTATGCAGCACTGAAACAACAGGGATTTCCAGAGAAACCTGGACTCTATAATTCAAGAGAGTGAAATAGCACAGGAAGTAGAGATGGATGGGAAGCAGAAGAATCTGGAGTTACTTCAAACGCTTAGAATTCCTCAAGGCACCAGGTACAATAAGGCAGTATTTCTCAACTTTGGCAACTTTAAGATATGTGGAATTCAATTCCAAAAATTCCCAGCCAGTCAGTTGGCTGGGAAATTCTGGAAGTTGAAGTCCTCACATCTTAAAGTTGCTAAAGTTGAGAAATGCTGCAGTAAAGTATGGAAACCAAGAGACAGAGGAAAAGCTTGAAGGATATATGAATGGTAGGATTAGAGAGAAATTCAGAGAAATTATTCCCAGGCTTAGACACAATAAGACTTTTGAAGAAGCAGAAAACATCATGTGTTTACATCGCCAAAGTGCAACAAACAACATCAGATGAATGGCATCTCTGCCAAGTTTCTCAAACTCCTCAGTAAAAAAAAAAAACATTAATCCATATTATTGGAGTATAGAAATTGCAAAATTATAATAACTAATACTAGGAACACAGCCATCAAAACATTATTCAAATTTCTAAAAACCAATAGGAAGCTTATGAGGTTTTTGGTACAGCTTCATATTTCAAAGCCATATAACTTAAATTACCCTTGTTTGTTTAAATTTTAGATTGCTTGTACTCTAATAGAAAGGAATTTGAGTCAATCTACTTTTTTATTAGGAATTTTGGTACCATGGGCTGGAGACTCCTCTATTCTATCCTTTTCCAGAAAAAAATGCCACAAATCATCCATAATGCAAAGTATCTTCAGGAATTAGCTTTCCAGAGAGTTGCTGGGCTTCAACTTTTCACACATTTGATAAAAGCAATTGGCTATATTTAAACAGATTTGGTTTATTGAACACACCAGAATAACTCATACATAATATTAATCCACTGTTGGTAAATTTGTGCATTACATTAAGACAAGAACAAACAAACACTGCCTAATATAACTTATGATTATTAAATGACAGTTCCACTGGGGTAAGCCCCTAATCCCAGATGCTGTAAGTCAGTTTTGTGATGGTTATGGGGACTTCAGCTTCCATAACCGTCAACCACAGTGGACGAGCCCATGTGTGCACATTTCCACCTGATGATTTTTCCCTCCAATATTCCACCTCACAATTTATGCAATTTACAAAAAGATAAAATGATTGGCTGGTTGGTAAATTACTCTGAGATCATTTTTCTGCCCCATGATCTACTGTATTGTCACTAATTTTCACAGAGGCCATTGCAAATTTCTAGCTATTTCATCGGCCCCCAGAAGTAAGAACTCATCATATCCTTCTCACTCTTACACTACAGTCTTATAGCATTCCTTACAAGGATCTCCTGGATGGCCTTTTTTTCAGTTTTCCAGAAATAGCTACTCCTCTCTTTGAAGGATTTGAATAACCTCTCCACCTAGGAAGCCTTGTACCAGATCTGGAACAGCATTTATCCCTTAATTAAAAAATAAATGCAAAATAGCTTAAGGGCTGCATGACAAGTTCTACAGGCTGTGTGCTTGTGGCAGAGTAAACAGCCTTAGAGGAAAGGGCTGATCCCTCAGATAGCAGTGAAGGCAGTTCTTGTCACTCACCTGCTCTAGTCTTTTATGTCACGATCCTGAACAAATGTGCTGTCTGTGGCAGAGCCTCAGAAGGTGGGTACAACTGCTTTCCTTTCCCCTTAATAATTTTGTCCTTCCTTGGCAGCTTTCAAAAGCTGTGGGTATCCCTTCAAGGCCAACCCTCTTCAGCACTAGGCTAATAAGCTTGCACTTGCAGGTTATACATGCAGACCAGCAAACAGTGTCACCTACCGTGAACAAACAAGGCTGCATAGCAACCATGTTTTCTAAGGAGTCTTGAGATGCCAGTGGCGTGAGGAAGAGATTTTGCTGGCCTGTCTCTCCTGGGGGTTTGCACGATGAGCACTGGAGTGACCTGGCAGCACCTTAACTCTGAAAAAGTCTCAACAATAATAGGAAAGGGGATTATGTGTGCTGGGCCTTTGCTTCCAGGAGCTAATAACATGAGCAAACGTACATCCCCAGTAGAGAAAAGATGCCGTAAATTCTCAAGAGGGAGAGAGAGAGAGAGAGAGAGAGAGAGAGAGAGAGAGAGAGAGAGAGAGAGAGAGAGAAAGAGAGAGAGAGAGAGAGAGAGAGAGAGAGGGAGGAGGGAGGGAGGGAGGGAGAGAGAGAGAGAGAGAGAGAGAGATTCTGCTTACTGAGTATACAAAATTGCCACCTCACAGCCTTTCCTCATTCATGTTTTCTTTTAGATAACAATTACTGACTGGATTAGAGTATTACTGAGGGAACAAATTGTTTTGCAATTCTCTTGTCACATATCTCACAAATAATCCTGTGAAGTAGACAATATGACAGATTGAAGACAATGCCTCATTGAATCAGTGCTTACCACTTTTGCATAAAAATTTAGAATCAGAGAGCTGGAAGAGGTAGTAGAAGTTATCTAAGCCATCCCCCTGCTCAGTTCAGGATCCAGTAGTATATCTCTGCAGATGTCTATCTAGCCTCTGTTGGAAGACCTCTAGCAAAACTGACCTCTCTACCTTATGTGACAGTCTGTTTCACTGGCTGAGAGCTCATACAGTGAGGAAGCTTTCTTGTAATTTTAACCTATAGCAGGGATCTTCAAACTTGGACCTTTTATGACTTGTGGACTTCAACTCCCAGAATTCCTCAGCCAGCGTGCCTGGCTGAGGAGTTCTGGGAGTTGAAATCCACAAGTCATAAAAGGGCCAAGTTTGAAGACTCCTGACCTATAGGTTATGGTCCTGCCCTTTGGGATAATAAGTCCACTCTTTCTTTGATGAGACAACCCTTCTGCTGTTTGAAGATTACTATCAAACGTCCCTTCAGTCATCTCTTCTGTGGACCAAGTGTACCTAGTTATTTCATTCCCCTCTGAAATCATACCATGACTGAAAATGCACATTGTGTTACATAGCAATTTCTTTGAAAAACTCTGGTTTGTTGACTAAGTCACAATTAACTGGATTCTCACATAATTATGTTATGGCTAGTGCAATTTCTGAATGGGAATGGAATGGATTTGGAAGACCAAACCCATTTCTTTTCAGGTAACCCATAACTATTCTAGATCTTTGTATATTGTTTGTTGATATCATCTCATTTTCCTGGTTCACTTTGTTAAACCAATGACATGTGTGTCCTTTTTCTTTTCCATCATGTAGCTGTTGTTTAACATCTTGGAAACATTTTTTGAGATCCATCTCCCATTCACCAACCCACAGAAATCAGAGTCACCACTGCATGGCAGCAAGAAAAGCCTGAAAATCTGCTGAGCTAAAAAGTCTCAAGTTTTTATCCTGGCAAGGAAACTTTATCAAGTTTTTATCTTTGGCCATAAGCCAAAGATTCTCCACTTTGTGGCAATGAGATACAAGTCATGGCATCATTGTTCTAGAATCTGTCCCTAAAAAAGCTCATTCCAGCCAGCCTCATTTGGTTGTTTATTTTTAGAGCTTATACCTTACAAATATATTATTTGAGACAAAAATGTAACTATCCTACAAAAAATCCACGTGTGGGTATTTGTGCCTCTCCGAAATTAGTTCCTAGTGAGTCATTAGCATTTGGCTGCTAGACTGATTAATTCTATTCCGAGAAATATATCAGAACTAACAATCAAAGAGAAAGGAATCTTACATAGTAGCTCTGTGTTCCGATGGGTACTAGTAAGAATTCTTTTCTCATATTGCCTCTCCACTCCCAGCTCCAACTGAAAGTATTCTGCTGTAGGTCCTTAAGAGGGACCAGGTGGCTTGATGGTTTTACAGATTTACATAGCAACACTGCTGATTTCACTTTAAAATACAACCGGCATTGATCTGAGCTATTTTGGCTCTATGCAGATTCTTGTAACATTCCCCCAGTGCCCGGGACTGTGGCTAAAGAGAGAAAAACAGTGTTAAGTTAAAATGGATTATGCTCAATTCCCTCCTGTCTTCCAGCAGGAACCAGTTGCTGCCAAGCACCTGGATTTCTTTAAGCAATTGCTTTTGTGGTGAGAATATTTTTTGTTGTTGTTGCTGCTGTTGTTGTTATAAGATAACCATCAATACCCTATTCCTGACATAGTCAATTCTCATTATTCATGGTAGTTACGTTCTATAAGGTTACCACAAATATTGAACTAGTGAGTTTAAAACCACCTGGCAATGTATGCATCTGGCAACTCAAATGTTTTGCTGTTCTGCGTGCCTGCAAATAACCAAAAAAGCACCACGGGTATTGATTTTGCAGGTACAAATCCATTTTAACAAACAAGTGAATGGGCTTCTCAGCAGGGACAGGGACAAGGCCCTGCTTAGCTGCCTCAAAAGTTTCCAGCAAATCAGATCCCTGAGATTTCCTCAACTTCTATAAAAATTTTGCTTTTCTGTCCAGCCCCGATTCTACTCTGAATTGAAGGATTGCCAGGTTGTAAAAAGGAAGTCATTGTGCAGGCTCCCTCTTTTCTGTAAAGCAGTGCAACGCAGTGCAATTATCAGCACAATAAACATGGCTCTTCTCCTCAGTGCTATGCTCTGCACTTCTGAATTTCCCATGACAAGTATCATTCCTTCCTCCACTGCAGCTGCCAAAGCAACTTGAATAATTATAGCTACTGGCAAAGGCATCAGCTTGCCAAAAACATTAGCCTACCTTTTACCATCATGAGTAGCAAAAGGCTTCAAATGTAACAGAGGGATGGAGCTTTGACAGCTTTATACAAAATGTTCCTTCCCCCTATGCCCAGATAAATGCACAGAAACCCAGACTGGGCAGAGAGTGGTTTATTATATTTATTTTGCATGCAGAGTGGAGACTGAGAGGATGTTTGTTGTTTTACCGTCTGTAATAGTTTGGAACAAGATAGTGATTTAATAATTTTTTACACTCTGATTGCTCAGCTAGAGGGAGATTAACTCCATTTTCTTTTCCTGCTCTCTGGGCTCCAGCTTCAAAGTGACTTGGAGGGACTGAGGAGCCAGAATCCTGCTGTCAAAAAAAAAATGCCTTCAGTGATCAGCGGCACTAATTACTTTTTAATTACCTTGCTGATGGTTATAGGAATTGTTTTGGTTGCTTTGGTAGATTGTTACTTCTGGTTATTGGGAGGTTTCTCCAACCTCCCAATGTTTACTGCTATTTTAGATATGCATTTTATAGTCACTTAGCCATTTTCGGAGAAGTAAGGCTGCAATCTTATGAGCATGCATCAAGTCTTCTTGAAATCAAAGCCAATTAAGGCTGGCTTTGAAACAGACACCCAGAGAATTTCAATCCTAATTAAAAGAAATAAACAGTACCGGGAAGAAAGAATATTCATTCAATCAGTCTATTTCTCCTACCACATACCCATTTAATATACCTGGAGCAACAAAAAACAATAACTTACCATCAAAAGCCAAATGGAGTCCTGTAGGGAAATTGGGAAATGGCTGTGCCATCTTATTATGTAGCAGGAGATAAACGTTTGACAGAAAGAACCATTCTGGAATAACGGATTAGAAATACTATTTCTAATATTTACTATAGGGCTAACAAGGAAAAAGTCTTAATCTTTTTTGATTCCACCTATATTTTACTCTCACAACCAATATTTCCCTGCTGTAATAGAAAGTATGAACTGCTGTCTGAACGTACAGTACCTGCAGACATTTGGTCAGTGATGGAATAAAACAAAAGATGGACTATACAGACGTACTTACAACACAATTGAGCCCAAAATTTCTGTTTTATGAAGTTGTTAGTGGGATATCAGCCCTGTTTTGTTGCCAGATAAAATTAAATGGAAGCATCCATGAATCACCAGCAGTAGAATGGAAAAGTTTTTACTTTTCTCCGAATACATTCTGCAGTTCCAGAGGGATCAAAAGATGAATATTGAGGGTTAATTTACACTGCAAGAAGGATAGTACAATCCATGTTTATTAAAAGTGTGGGAAAGTAACTTCATTTCTTTTCTGTTTCAGAGTCTTATTCCAGTTTAATCTCAGTTAAAATACTCACCTAAATTGTTCAGGGAAAATAAAATTCCCATCCATGCTTTTGTTTGCATTATCTGTTCATTCCCAGTTCATAGAAGCCAGGATTCTGTATGATCCAGCTTTTGAAGTATTATCACAAATATCCTTCTTCAATTAAATTTGCATAACATAACCATGGTATACGAAATGCTAAACAGAATTGCATCTGTTTTTTCATTCAGTGAGATCATGTTTAAATGTATGTTTCTATCAATTGTTTCAACTGTTGCACTAATTTGAAATGTACTGTAACTGCTATTTTTTTAAAACCAGAGTGGATTCCCATATCTTTTACATAAATAATCCTATATTTGGCAGAAAATGACCATGGGTTTTGCTAGACTTTCTCCTATAGCCAAGCAGTTGTGAGAACAGGTGCCTAATCTTTATGCAAGGACAGGTTTGCTTGAGATTCGACTAAAGGACATTCTCGGTAAGGAGCTAATATCAATGTTCTTGATAGATGTGCAGGAAAATAACATATTAGCTGAAATATCAAGCAGAGTCCACAGGTAACATGTCAGAAAATGTGTCAGAATGTCAGAAAACATTCCTGATTTTTCCACAATGTTTGTTCTTCGACTTCAGGTCAGGGCAGAGGTAAGTCAAGAGGGTATCCATGACAATGTGATCCAAGCCATCATCTTGATCCCCTGCCTCCCTTGGATATTCCTGGCTTAGCAATCTTTAATATGAGCAAGGGCAATTTTTCATCAAGGGGTAATCTGTGTAGTAGCAATATAATCAGAGCCAAAGCCAGTAACCATGTGCTGCCAGACATTTCAATTAACCTTTGGAAAAGGGCTTTTTGCAACTCTGAAGATGTTCGTTTCTGCTGTAGCTTTAATAATGCCTTTTCCCAAAAGAACGCACAGGAAAGAAACAGGAAAGCTTTATACTAAGGTGATGAGCTAACAAAGCAACCAAGTATGTGAACAAAAAGGATGGGAGGAGGAGAGAAGAAATAAC